TACATATTTTCTTTTCATTTTAATAATAATAATAATTTAATTTTAATTATAATTTTTAAATTTAAAATTATGTTTCAATATTTTAATTATCTTTCTTTGCTACGTTGTGCCAACTTAGGGACTCAAAGTACAAATGTAAATCAAGTCCCTGAGAATAGGTACTAAAATCGCTGGCTCATGAAAATACTGGAACGGTCAGCCGAAAAATTTGTATACAGCCCGGAAGATATACGTTTTGTATGCTAACAATAAGAAAGGACCTAGCCAGCCGCGAAAAGACGCTTTGCGACCCCCGAAGAGATTTCGCCGAAAAGAAATCCGGCCTCAATGACGCGTTCAGGGCGCTCCTATTGTACAAAGTAATCCCTCGTACCCTCTTTTTAGGCGTCCGGCGCAGTGTGTCAACTCTCGAGTGATCGAAACACCGAACGGACTCTATATGCCGATTCGTTTTTTCCGTTTTCGCTTGTGGAACGAAAGAACACGAAAATCAAGTAGCGGAAGACAACGACGATAAAACTGTACGAGAACATCATTTCTACTAAGTTTTCCGATCTCAATGCAATTATGTCGTCACTATTCGATATACTTTAACTAACGAAGCTTGCAATTAATATTGGCACGAGAGCTTTTTTTAACTTCCGCGGCCAAAAACAGATGAGCAATTAAGTTTCATCCTTATCGCGAAAAATCATAGTAGAATAAGAACGGAAGTAAGAATAAAAATGTCATTGAATCACAATAATTACATCTTCATCATATTGTTCTACACTGAATTATTTTTTACAGATAAATGTATTGTTAAATTAACAATAAAAAGAACTAGCTGAATATTTTATTTAAAAAATGCTAGTTTACAAGTCAGAAATATCTTTCTAAATTTTCTGACATTAAAGCCGGTATTTATACAATTTTTATATAAGACGGTCTTAAGATATAATAAGCCCCAATCACAATGCCGTATTAATCACATTTTAATATATTACTTAAAACTGTCTTGAAATAAGAACACATTATAAATATCAGCCTAGATCCTGTTAGTCAATCAAATTATAAAAATATTCTTACTATATAAATGAACGCGAAAATTCTTAAATTTCAAGAATTTCGCTTTTAACAGTCAAACTAGACAATTTATTATTATGACTTGTCTACTTTACTCCGTTCTTATTATTTTAAAATTGTCAATGTATGCAAACCGCTTCAAAATTATTAATTTTCACTTCGGGAAAAATTTACGAAGACACTTTCTATAAAGTCAGAATCTTTTATGCTATTTGCTCTGGCAATGACAGTCGGCTAGTATCGAGAACGAAGATGTTTCGCATTTCCATTGACGAGAGTGGACGCACGCGCTTACTTTTTACATTTTAGGAACATACACGGTTACGTATAAATAGTTTTGTGGGCGAACAAGCGAGCAGAGTGTTCCGAGCCGTTCTCACGTGATGAGAAGCGGAAAGTACTTTACGACTCTAGCTATATAAAAAAAAAAAGACTCTCGAGAAGAAAGAGAGATCGTCGTAGCGTATGATGTCCGTGCAAGCTTACTAGTGCCGCCGTGCTTTTTCGTTGAATCCGTTTCGTCGCTCGTACCTATCGAACGATTTGTATGAAAGTCATCGTGAGTCATCGCGAGACTCGCCGTAACGATCGGTATTTCGCGACATCATTGAGTGATGTTATCATTTTACAGCGGCAAATAATAATAGATAAAAGTTGATGTTAGATTCTCATTAAAAAAAAATACTTGAGATATACAGAAAAAAATCATTTCTGTATAATTCTACAATTTTATAACAATGTTAAATTGTTATAATCATTATCACATCATTTTATAATTATATAGATTAATATTAAAAAATTTTTATATGTTCCATTTTCACATATTTTTAAAACAAAGTATTATTCAGAGATGTAAAGCCATTTTTCTTCATCATTTTTTAAATAATTAAATATAATAAGAAAATATAATGTATCACGTATATTAAAATTCATTAACATTTTCATTAATATTTTAATTCATTTATCAACATTAATCGATTTGGTCTCAATCGAAATTCTTCGTGTCGCTCGCTCGATAACGTAAAAATTACTTGACTGAAATGTGGAATTACCGAGATGAGACGGCGAGTCCGCGAATAGTGAACAAAAGAAAGAATGTATTTTATGATATTTTACGCATAAAAAAAGAAGAAGAGGAACGATCGTAAATCGAAATATAGCGTTAGTCCAAGGTAAAGTTAAGTAAGTAGAGATGTATAAATAAAATGACAATTCTCGAAGGCGTGTCGTTTTGCGCACGCCTCGCGCGGGGACACCGCGCGTCGCGATCGAACGCGATTTTACACATAAGGAGAATCGATTCTCGGTCCACGAGAAGTGGATGGGACCGCGAAACGGTGGTTAAGCCTAACATACGTTGTGTCCGTCACGTCGGCGATTAATTAATTAACGACGGGACGTTTACTTTACCCATTATTGTAGCCGGTATTAGTACTTTACCGATGGCGCTTGTGATTCCTAATCCTCTCAACGCTCGCAACTACGTGCGTTCGATCGTAATAACGATCGTAATGATCTCCGCGAATTGCACTCGCGATATTGTATGGAGATACTTGCGATGCGACCGAACGTCTCGATCGACGACACTTTCCCCAAAATCTTGATTACCCGCGAATCACCGTTTCGCGAGAACGATGCCCAATCACTGGTATACTAAGCGCTACTGTAAAATATTGTATATTATTTCGCGTTGTTTATTTTTCAATGTTTTTACTAGAGACGCGTTTCTACGGTATTTACGAAGAATTACCGCATAATGTTATTGAAGACGCGATCCGCGCTGCTCCGCCACACCGTAAAGACTGCGACGACGGAAACTTTGTCATGAATCATTAAAAATTACGAATAATACAAAAAGAATATGAAAAGAAATAAAAGAATTAAAATATGAGAAATTTATCTCTGTGCCACTGTTATATCTAAATAAGTATTATTTTTATCAGTGGGATATTAATAAAAAAATTTGCATTTTGATAATTAAATAATTAAGAATTTTAAAATTATTGCTATTACATTTTAAAACTTGAAATTAATTTTAACATTTTACACATAGTTTTGTGCATATAAAAAAAACTAAAATTTGCCAGAACTAAAATCTGACTTCAATGCTCATTAGCATTGTAAACAGCAATGCTTTCTCCATTATGTTTAACGTCTTTTCCAACCAGCTTTTCTAATGATAATTTCCCCTCTTCCTAATTTACTTCGCAAGAGAACTTTAAATAATTTACGACCCGACAAACTTCATTACCATCATTGTCCGCACTCTTACGGTGTTGCGAACCAGCGGGATAAACACGTTTGTAAAACTGCAGCGTATCTCCAGCAGCTTTCGCAGTGTGTGAGCTAAAAAAAAAAAACGAATGCAGAGCAAAACTAGTCTAGGGCACATTTAAAGAGCGTATGGCTTGGGTGCAGAGAATTATTACGAATGTAATGTCCGTCTTTGGCGTAAATCACGTGCTTTTGAAGAGTAACAAAATATTTCGAGTAGAAAATCTTACAAACATCTAATTATACGCGGTTGTATTCGCGAAACGGCGTAACGTTAGAAAATAATCATCTTTTGCGGAATGTGTAAAATTCTGCAAATACTGTTCGCCGAAACATTTCTATAGTTTCATCAAATGTCATCATCAAGTTGTCTACCAAAGAGTTTTAAAAAGTTGAAAACAATCATATTGGTTATCGCAGAATGTTATTGTAATTGCTGCGATAAATCGTGAAAATATTCATTGATGTTTCGAAAAATTTCTGAAAAACACGTGTTAATGTAATTTATTATTAATGTAATTCGCATAAGCAGAAAATACTCGATATTCAGAATCGTTGAAATTTGAAACGTTTGCGCGTAAAAAAAGTGCATCGAAGGTCCGGGATATTTTTTACAATCTTGAATGCTCGAAAGTGCTATTTTCTCAAAAGTACCGTACGACTCAAAGACGAGCCAAGCGGACGAGAATCGGACGTTTGCGTTCCGCGATAGTCTTTATAGCGAAAAGACTACGCACTATTGATAATATGGCTAATTCTAGCAGCACGAAGTATTAACGTTAATAGCGAAATTATTATAAGGGAGACGTAACGGCGAATTACTAATAAAGGTATAGGTCGCCATCGATGTTTCCCGAAACAACCTCCTTCGACGAAATGCGCTCGAAACAGTGGCAGATATAAATGAGAGAAGCGATACTCTTTTATTCCTATAATTGGCTACTCTTTGAAGAGTAAAAATGCCACATTTATTACGATCGCCTAATAAATAGTATGCAATAAAAATGTTACGCTGTCTATGTTTTAAAGTTACTGACGTTTCCTTACATTAAAAAACGATTTGTTACCTTTAATTAATACGCAAAATAGAAGATGAATTCATAATTGCAGAGTGCAACGTAAAATATACAAGAGAAATAGGTAATAAAAATTTTTAGATATAATTAGATCACCCAAAAGTAATGTAACAGATATTAATCATCTAAAATGATGAGGAGTTACACGAAAAGTGTACAATTTGAATACTTACATCAAGTATTTGGATACTTACAAAATTAAAGTAATGCTTTTCAGACATTCTGAAAATGACATGTCTAAAAAGCATTATATATATATATATATATATATATATATATATATATAATTTTTTATTTCAAGATTTCTTTAGAGGGCTTGTTGCACATAAACCTATATGAAACCTTCAAAGCATGTGCCGGTTATTCGAATAAGAGACAATAATTTTCATTCATTTAAATTTGTCATCAAATCGAGTGCCGATTACCGGGCATCGCGGACAAACGATAGCGTGTATAAGGCACAAAATGATTTTTATTACTTAGTTTCGTTCCTATCCAAGTGAGGCAGATTATGATTGAATATGTTACACTTGTATTTACGAGTGCATTTGTAAAATGATTTACCTAAATTAAAAAGGCATGATGTTTCGAGTTATTTTTTATTTATACGTAATTTCGTTTAGGATACTTTAGAGATGGAGCATAACGCGAGGAATCGTTAGGAAATGATTGAGACTAGTATCGGCATCGAGATTTCATGTGAGAGAAGCTTTACGCTGGAAGACGCTAGCGTTAGATGATTACTATGAAGCGTCGGCAAGCGAAAATACTTTATTCTAGTCGTATCTCTCATGCTTTGCCAAGTAAGCAAATGTAACTCTTGTGTTTAAATGTAAACGGTCAATTATGTTTTAATAAAATCTGCCAAGATTCTCTTGTCAGCGTTCTGTGTATTTCCCTCTCTATCCTTTATATTTTTTCTTTCATTCCTACACACCTTTCTTTTTTTATATAAAAGTAGATTTAAAAGTACATTCATAACTAGAATCTAAAATACTAAAAAAAATGAAAACAAAAAAAATTATAATTATGTGAATTTTAAGAGAGGATCTAATTAAATTTTAATTTATATTGTCAAAAGATCTAATATTTAAATCTTTACTTGCACTATCTTCTAGATACTCTACTCGCATTTAAAAGATCTGATTTTTGTTTAAAAAAAATATAAATATATATGTATTCGTACAAAATATATCAGATTAACTGACATATTAGTTGCAAGAGCATTATATATATTAATCAAAATATTATAAATACTGTAGAATATTTTGCTGTGCGATTCAACCACCAGTTTGTAATTGGAGCAACAATTAATATAGCAGTCTTTGGTAATGGTGGTTGACACGTATGCAGCTGACATAAAATGGAGTTTGTATTTACAATGATTACATTAGTAAAAAGGCAAACACATAGGCTCAGGTGTTTTTGTAACTGACTACAGTATCCATTTTATGTAAAGAGGTTGAAAATGATCTAAGCTGTACCTCTTGACTGTTTGCAATAAAAACTGGCTGAGTCTCGTCCCACTGGTTGGGAATGTTACAGTCTGGTACTGTGTACGTAAGTATGTCGAAGGAACACAGGCAATCCAAGAGCGGCAAAAAGCTCACCGTGCCTGCAAGAATACTTTGTATTACGATCTAAATGGAACGCAAAAATATAACGCAGCATTTTGCTAGAAAAAAAATCGCACTAGATCTCTCTACCTGTGATCTGACGTATCACTTCGCGTATTTCCTTCTGTATAGTTTTCTCATCCTTCGTCCCTACTTCGGGCAGATCGCCCTTGATAATGCTGCTGTCTGCTCCGTTCGCCTTCGGATCCTCGTAATCGACCTTGAAGTCCCACTTCTCCAGCACCTCCTTCGTATTGACGTTCGTTATGACGAGCGTGATCTTGTGCACCTTGCGCTGGACGAGCCACTCTTGGATCTGTCCCAGCACGGTGTTCAAGAAGGTCGTGATTTTCTCGTCCGTGGACGTGAAGATGAACAGACCGAAATGCTCGGAAGGCTGGAATGTCTCCGGCGGATATATCCCTCTTTGATAGAGTATACTATTGACTCCATAGACTGCAACGGGGAAGAGGTGACGATCGGAGAGAGGTTATGCGTATTTGAAGTCCGAGATTGACTTACGAAATCGTACTTACGCAGATATTGCGCGACCAACTCGGCGGAACCTTTCAGGGTAATGCACTTGGCCCTTTGTTGCGTCTCTGTCATGCTGCAGAACAATCGGATCACAGCGGTTTCGTCGGAAAATCGACGGGACAAGCACTACAAGCACTCCGGGACCGGGCTACAAATTTGAAATGAAACGGCTGGTCGGCGACCAATCGTATTCGACCAAACGCGCGCGAGCGGCGCGAGCGCGCCAAAATAGAGATCGCCAAAACGACCGTGTGCCGCGCGATTTGAAAGCGTATTCCACGAGCCCAATCGGCGTATATATTTCAAATGTGCAAATATAGTTCATAAGAAAATTATTAATAATTGCTGAAACTTAAGAACAAGAGGGTAGAAAATCTCTGCGATAATATAATAAACAGCTGCGTATAAAAAATAAAATAAAATGTATAAGTCAGTTTCTTCTATTCTAAAAGTTTTTCTTAAGAGAGTACTGAACTGAGTAAGCATTTTTTGTGCTAGAAGTGCATAACAAACAATTGCAAAAAACAATGCGTGAAAAGATATATGGCTTCTACAAACTATACTTGTTTTTAAATTCTGTTCAGACAATTAACGGCTAATCGGACATTAACACACTCCATGTTATGTCATTTTACGTGCACGCGCGGATTGGCTGGTCTTCGGCGCGAATGTATTGCGTGTTAATCCCATCTATCAGTACCACGTGAACCCGGGTTGGGCGGAAGCAGCGCCACGGAGCACGGAGTGGAGAGTGGACGCCACATTCGCCGCCACAAGTAGCGAAGCCGGCGTGTGAGGAAGGAACGTTCGTCGTTCACCGAATTTATCGAGCTTGTTCACTTACGATCGACATACGCATCCGGCACCATGGTTGGCGTCGACGAATTATTCATATCCGGCCTCGTGTATGAATATTTATTGAAGAAAGACGCGTCGTTGGCGGCGGTCTTTCAGAAAAAGACAAACGCGGTAAGTAAGGGCGGCTGACGCCGTGCTCCACTGCCATGCGGTATCGGAGAACCGCCATACTCGCTAACCACGTGGGCGCAACGCGCCCAACGTGATCGTGATTTTTCTCGATTGCTCCACGATTCGCATGTTATCGCGATCTTCTCCGTTGCGCCCTAACTAATTTCTAAATATTGCACGTAATCGACGATATCCACTTTTAACGATGCTTATACTTTTCAGCCTTCCCTCTCAAAAGGATGCCCGACGTTAATAGAAGTGTTTAGATATTTCCAAAAGGGCTCTCCAAAGAAAGTCTCAGTGATCGCGCAAAATAAAAAGAGCAGCTCGGATTCGAGTTCGGAAAGTGAAGAGGAGACGGGAAAGAATGTTGCACAAGTCAACGGCAAGAAATCGGTAATTGAGACAGTGCCTCTTAAGAAGGTAGCAGAATCTTCCTCGGAAGAGTCTTCCAGCGAGGAGGAAGAAGAAGAGGAAGCACCAGCTCAAAAAGTAACGAAGAAAGGGAGTAAAAATGCCAAGGCACCTGTGCAGAAAGCGGAGAGTTCTGATGAAAGTTCTGATGATCCTGAGGAATCGCCAAAAGTTCAAACGAAATCTGTGCAAGAAGCAAAAACGAATAAGAAAGTAAAATCTGCTCCTCTCATGAAGGCAGCAAAGGCAGTTTTAAAAGCGGTTCAGTCATCCGACAAAAATTCATCTGAATCATCCTCAAATGATTCATCTTCCAGTAATTCAGCTAACAATCAATTAGGAAAGCCAAAACAGACTATCAAACAGTCGGCACTCAAGACGTCCACCCCAAAAGCGGCCAAAACACAACCACAAAAACAGAATAAACCGACACAAGCTGCAAAAGCAGAATCATCGAGCGAGGAAGACAGCAGCGAGGAGGAACCAATGCCGAAAAAACTGGTTCAAAGTAAATCGGCAGTGCCAGCAAAGCAAACTGCCATGGAAGAATCTTCGAATGACGATAGCAGCGAGGAGTCTGTTCAGGAACCAACTTCAACAACCGCCACTAAGAATCCAACTCCGGCAGTCGCCGCTAAAAAAGAATCTTTGTCGAGCGAAGAAGAGAGCAGCGAAGACGAAACTAAGGCAGTCCCAACAAAAGCAGCTGCAACTTTGAAGGCACAGAATAAATCGACGCCAGCAAAAGTAGTTAAAAAAGCAGAATCGTCATCGAGCGAAGAAGACAGCAGCGACGAGGAGGAACCAGCGCCGAAAAAAACAGCTCTCAGTAAACCAACAGTACCAACAAAAGTAGCTACCAAGAAAGAATCTTCAAGCGAGGAAGATAGCAGCGAGGAGGAGCAGCCTGTTAAAAAACCAATCTCAGCAGCTGCTACTAAGAAGTTAACTCCGGCCGGTAAAAAAGAAGAATCCTCAAGCGAAGAAAGTAGCGAAGATGAATCTCCTGTCAAAAAACCAGCTTCCACTAAGCAAAATGCTGCCGCTAATAAAATTAGTTCCGTAAAGAAAGATTCGTCAAGCGATGATTCGGAGGATGAATCTGATGAAAAAGAGAAACCAGCGACGAAAACAGTAGCGAAAGCAGCGGTTAATAAAACACCGAAGAAGCAGGAATCTTCCAGCGAAGAGTCAGATGATTCAGAAGATGAGGCACCGACAAAAGCACCAGTCAAGGCACCCACCAAAAAGGAATCCAGCGAATCCAATTCAGATTCCAGCGACTCCAATAAAGAGAAGGCAAAAATTCAAACGCCAGCTAAGGGACAAAAAAGGAAGCATGACAATGATGAAGAAAAAACGCCAGCAAAAGGTGCAAGAAATAACTATGGAAACTTTGTAAAAGCTAATAATAGCTTCGACGGAGATAAGGTATGATAATGTCTTTATATAAAGTACTGTGTAAAATATTTGCTAAACTGAATAGAAAGTGATCAATGAATATAACAAAATTTTCTTGCCAAAGTTCGCTCATAAAAAATGTTAATAATTGCATATTGATCACAGCACATATAAATGTTCTCTTGCTCACTTTTTACATGCAACCATTACGGATATATGGTTTAAGTAAGAATTAAATGTTAATGTCTTTAAAATGATAGAATCCTTTTTTATTATCTATGATTTTTATTTAGTCACAGAAAACTCGTACATTTCAACGTGTGCAAAGCGACATCCAATTGGATCCTAAGTTGGCTAATAATTCCTTCGAAGCAAAGGTAAATGCTCGAAAACCGTCCGAGAGGCATAGGTCACTCGCCCTTTTCACAAAAGCTTGAGACCCTGCTTGAGACTATGTTTCCGTGCATTCACCAAATTTATTCAAATTTTAAATGAAGCAAATAAAAGCAAGAATGGAGAAGTAATAAATCGCTTTTAATAATGGGCAATTGACCTATTCCTCTTTTGTTTTAGAATGAAGATGGTGATAACAGTTTTAAAAGACAAAACTCAGAACGAGGTGGATTCAGGGGTGGATTTAGAGGCGGTAGGGGTGGTTTCCAAGGAGGATGCGACGAGGGTGGTCGTGGCGGTTTTAGAGGCGGTTTTAGAGGTGGTTTTAGAGGCGGACGCGGTGGCGACCGGGGTGGTCGTTGGAGCAACGATGGTGACAGGGGCGATCGCGGAGGTCGCGGCGGTTTCAGAGGTCGTGGTGGTGGTGGCGGTAGAGGTGGTTTCGATGGTAGAAAGTCTTGGGGCGGAAACAATGACGGACCAAGAAAATCATGGGAAAATAATGAGAATAATGATAGAGGAGGTTTTAAAGGTGGTTTCGATAAAAGGAAATCTTTCGATATCGCAGGACCACCTCAAAATAAAAAAATCACTTTTGACGATTAGTATTTGAATAGGTGATTGTATATAAAGGTGAGGGAAAAATCACGATTTTGTTAGAAAAATATAATCTTTTGAGAAAAATGTAAATGTAAAGATAGAATCTTTGTGTAATGTAAACGTAAAGATATAATCTTAAGAAAAATATAAAGATGTTTAATGTTTATTTTTTTTTAACAGAAAGGTGCACGAGGATCATGGGGAGAACGCGCTAATGAAGTACTGAAGTTTACAAAGGGCAAGAAGTTTCGGCATGAGAAGCAAAAGAAGAAGCGTGGCTCTTACCGCGGCGGGCACATAGATGTACAAGTTAATTCCATCAAATTCGACTATTAAGCAGTTATACACAAACAATTCGTGATTCTTTATAACCATATTTAAATCCATAAAATAATTTTAAATTTAATACCGACTTATACCTATTGTAAACAATGTATCTATGTTAAAATATATAAGACAGCTGTTGTCTAGTATTTTAAAGAAAAGACGAGATTTTATAACAAGTTCGGTTGATACATTCACTGATGGACAATTGAAGCTATATAACTGAAATCATACTGGAAGTGAAATATTTAGCATATTTGGCGAAATATGTGCACATAAAATTTCATTGAGCTAAATATTTGCGTTTATAATTCTATAGATAACTACATATATGTTGTATGCATTTAACTGATTTTGCTATTCGAGAAAATATTGAACATACTGTTATCAAACAATATATACTTGACAAAACCGCAATTTTTTATTTTTTCAGTTATTTTCTCATGATTTTCTATATCTGTATGTCATGAAGGTCTGTGAATTTTATTAAAGATAATTCACAAGTGCTAATAATACGATGTGTTTTGAATATATTATAAATTACATCATAATGAACATTAATTTTAAAACTCACAGTGATTAAAATACAAATGTTCGAATTAATTTATCGATTATTTATCATTCTTTTTTATAAAAATATAGAATAATTATTAATTGTTATATATTAGCATGGGTTGTATGTATCTTTGTTTTTGTTTGTTTTTTGATTCAAGACGTAAGAATTGATTTCAGCAAATTTTAATATTACTAATTCAATTTTACAAAAAAAAAAGAATGCGAACAAAGCTATGATTGGTGCTAATCATTAAAAATTAACTAATAAAAAAAGTCCCATATATTTCTTTATGTAATAAGAGCAATTTAATGCGATATAATTTCCCAGATAGCACAGAGAATGAAAAAAGAACTCAGTTATATATCACTAATTCTGAGTTCATTTTCAGAAGCAAAAAGAATTCTTTTTCTAAAAGGGATTCTTTTTGCACCTGAAAATGAACTCAGAATTGATGACATAAAACTGAATATACTAATGAATTCTTTTAGGCTCTGTGTGCTATCTGGGTCGGTTATATTGTCATATAAAAAAATATTGTTTTTAATCAAATATATCTGCTTTATGTAGCCCCGGTAAATTTGAAAATCTTACAAAAAAATTAAAAATTTTTACCGCTACGTTAAATGTTGAATATTTTTTCATCTGTCGCAAAATTCATATTTTTCAAAATTTCAATCAATACTAGTAGCAGAATTTATACAACAAAAATAAGTTTTTCATTCATAGGAAATTAATAACCAATTAATAGCTTTAGGCTTTTTAAAAAGGCTAATATTTTGTAAACAGGCCTGATTTTTCCTCGGTCGTTCTAGTAGCGAAAAACTTCGGATACTCTACGTTTCCCGACCTACCTGAAAAAGGGAGTCGTAGCAGAAGCTACCCTCTTTCACATCAAATCATCTTCTCTTTCCATCAGTAGGCGGAAAAAGGTTTAGAGGCAGAATAGGGGCCAGTATCCCCAGCCAGAGTGGAAGAAAGAGAAAGAAAGATCCCCTCTTTCGCCCCGGCTCGCTGCCCAAGCACAGAGAGCGGTTACTTACGATTCTACAGTCAACCTCTGGACATCCACCTGCGAGGACGGAGGTGCTCGACCCCACTCGACATCCGGTGCAGTGACATGAACGGTGTTTGAGGAAGCGAAAGAGAGAATCGTGTGCCCCAATTCTAATATTCCCTTTTTCGGTATCTATAACTTATTTTTTTACTTACCCGGTCTCTCGAGGACAGTCTGCTCGATTTTAATGTAACGTGGAGATTGCCGGACGGGCCGAGAAAGGACTTGTAATTCAAGCTGAAACAAATGTTCCTCACGGTAAGATACAGATCAAATTTTTTTCGAAATTATAATTTAAACGCTACCACCTCGCAAATCCCGTAAATTTCGCCTATCGAACAATTTTACGAAAATAAAGAATAATTAAAAACTTGGGTCCAAGTTCATAAATTCGAAGCGAAGTTTGAATCACTTGATCGTGAATGTACGGTTCAATCAGTTGTAATATCTACCCTTCGGTTCGATCAGTTGTAACATCTACCCTTCGCGGATTAGAGATTTGAAACCTATGTGGACTCAGGTAGACGAAAGAGGGACATCAAAATACTTCTTTCAAAGGGCGATTATCCCGCGGCTAAGGGCTAAAAGCGCTATAAATGGTGCTTCGAATTTTTATTACCTAAGGCATTATGTAAATATAAAACGTTTAGCTGCGCCGCCGCAGACCATGATTTTTTTTCGAGATATGTAGCTACGAAAACTACCTTAATACAATTCGATCTCGCTTTTTTTGATGAAATTCTTTTCGCTTTGTAATGCATAATCAATTATTAACAAAAAAATTGAACCGTACAAATTGCAAATATGTTAAGAATGTTATGATAAAAATCTCAAACAATGTTTGAGAAACACTGATGAGCTAAGTACGTTGATTGTTCGTGCTAATGTCTTTTACAAATGCATTCTAAATATAATACGTAATTTCTAAAATCATGTATTAAAAACAAGCGTTTCGATATTACGATAATATGATATTATCAGTGTAAGAAAAAATATGTATGCGTTAGCAATTTGTATGTATTATTATAGTGTACTATATATTCAATTTTTAATCAAATTAATCATATTTTTACATATGTCTTTCTGATATAAATACTATGATTTCAAGATTAAGTTAAGTGTTTAAAATATTACGGAATAAATTTAGATTTGTTTCCGATTTTTCGGATATTGTATTTCATGACTAATGTTCGAATTGCATTTTATTTGATTTATTACTCGCTTCTTTTTATAAAATATTTCTACAAAATAACGTAGTAAGATGTAGTCGATTGTTACAAGCTAAGACACAATTGTTAGTCTGAGATTTGTCACATCATCAGCCGCAAGAAAGAATCTTGTGGTGACAGAATATTTATTCATGCAGCGAACCACCGAAATGTATGTACCGTTATCGCGTACAAGGATAAACGTATAACTCGATAACGTTCGACGTGTACTGAGAGGAAACGACGTTTTGGATGAATCAACATTACCGTTAGATTTGGCGACGCGTCGCGTATGGACCGTAGAGAATCTGTTTCTCAGAGTAGACGCAAAAACGGAATATCCTCGAGTCTTATTGCCCGATTAACTCTGTTAACAACCTCATAATTAAATGCCTCGCTAATCATGGAAAAATAGAGAATATATAAATATAATTTATATGTTGATATTTAAATACATAGAGATTAAATAGCTACAAATTATATACTTTACTAGTAAATTGGCAGCATTAAATAATTAAAAGATTTTACAAAGATTTTAAAAGTATATTACTTTAATTATTTAAAAAAGCATTTTATTTTAATTACTTTTGCTTATACACTGATTTATTTGGAAAACAATATAGATAATTGCCGCAAAAATTATGCCAAGTTCCCCGAATAATCATAAAAAGTTAAGAACAAATTTTAAGATTAAAAATATTCCACTATATTCAATATTACAATGATTATCCATCAAATGAATTTAATTCTGGCAATACAAGAAAATCATTTATTTCTATTAGTATAATTAATAATATCACGCATAGAAAAAAAAATAATTTATTGTGTGACGAAAGCGTATAACAGAATTTATAGATCGTTGTCTTACATCGTAAAAATGAGGAAGCGACAGAAGGCGATTCTAATTTGAGTAGTAACAGTACACTTATGGCCGGCCGAGACGATTACAAAACGACGTGAGGAATCGCTGCCTGAAATAATCGACGTCCAAAACCGCCGCTAGCATGGAGCCGGCGAAGATCCCGAACGCCGGCTCTTCAAGTTCAGACGATTCCCACGTGCGCGTTGTTCCTCTTTCTTTTACGATCATTTGTCGCAGCGCACTTAAATGATTTTATACGATTAAATGTTATTCGAGGTTTAAGTGTAATTTGTAGTTATTAATATTGTCTTAATTATCTTTGCTTATCCTCGTAAACGTTCTCAGGACGCAAAGATATAACGACCGTAGTGATATAAAAAATTAATAATCCTATGTGTGTGAAACTTGTTGCAAGCATTTCTGAATTAAATTAAGCGATAATACATCTGAGGTAAATTATTAATTAATGTTACAGATAATAAAAGAAGGACTATAGAAAGAACAGAAACGATTTTATCATTGAGTATATCAAGATCATTATTATATGTTAAAGAAATGATTTCACGTCCGTATTTGTCGGTTCGTCAGCTTCTCAATACACGACTGTGATATTTCCTTCTTTTTTTTGTACGATTTGTACCTTTGCTTTCTCGGAATTTTGATCAGTCGTATTGTTAATTCGAACCGTGTGCAAATCGCGTATGCACGCCGCGTCTCGCCGTGACTCTCGTGCGAAAAAATCCAGGGCGGAACGAGGAGATCGTAAAAAGGACCGAGACCGCATCGCGGATCCGGAGAGAGGCGCGCCGCCGGCAGGCGTGAGAACGCTTTTAATTAACCGCAAGGTCGCAACGGTGGAGTAAGTAACGTTATACAGCGGGACGTATTATAGACGTATTGGAACGGAAGGCATGGATCTGCTTAGCTCTTCCTCTGCGATCCTCTTCCGTCGCGCCGACCCGCGAAATGGATCGCGCGATACGGGGAAGCGCGCGCCGCCCGGCGCGGCGCTTTGATTAATCGTAACGTTAATCGAGCACCTATCGCGCCTTTTCCGCGCTTGCAAAAAGGAAACAACGACGGCAGCTCGGTCGTTGTTACGCTCCCAGGGCGGATAACGTTAAGAAAGTGCGGTGAAGCGGAAAGAGTAATCAGGTAGTACTCGAGAGAACTTCGGCGCGTAACGAGAGTAATCATCCTTTGACCGTTGCGCAAATTTATTACGTACAATCGGCAGTTATCTCTTTTTCGGCTTAACTTTGTGTTAACGATGTATATCTTAAAGCACATATTCCACATATGTATAGCTCAATTACGCGACCGTAACGGCCCGATCGAGATCTACGTTCTAATTTTCTCAATATCGTTTTAATCGGACTTGATCCAGAGAGTTTATAAATTATAACGATTACGCGAGAGAGAAAGAGATCGTGGAGATCAATGCCGGGATCAAGGATTTGTCGAGGTAACAGGTATGTCGAGTGTGTGCATCGCGCGCGCGCGCGCGCGTCCGTCTCTCGATGGTCACGGCCATTGACCAACCTTGGACGGTATCCGTTAATGATTTCCTTGCTCTGCCGTTGTTGACCGTGGCTCGTTATTCAAGCGCCCGTCAAACGTCAGTCAAATCGTTCTCCAAGAAGTAATAATCTTCCTCGTGATTTTTATTGGCCGCGCTTAAAATTACAACCCGAAACATAACGCGAAAACCTGATAGGCACTAGATGATTTTTATGTGAAACCCCATTTTTTATTTGTACAAATAAATATGCAGTTATTTTGTTAAAGATCCTAAACCCCCATTAAATAATCTAAGAAAAGAACGAAAGAAATACTAAATCCAAAATCTTAAAAAGTTTTACGTCTTCTGAAAAATTAGTAACAATGAGTAAACTCTTGTTTAAATTCTTTAATTTCGAGAATTAAATATTTCTTTGTAAACAATTTTTCTTATTAAATACATTTTTTTAAATTAATTATATCTTATAAATTGATAGCTTATAAAGTGCTTTAACAATTATTATTATTTTTTAATCCTTATATATTTATTTTCTCTTCCACAAAAAGCAGATCTGTGGAACTGGTCCTCTTAATCGTGCCAGGGTTAATTGAATCTCGTCCGGCGAGGACTCGCGTCAACATTGGAAAGCAATCCCGCTTATTATTCCACGTTGTTAACATGGTCGCCGATATATGCGAAAAATTGCAATCAAAATGCAACGCTCGCGCACACGTTGAGCTTCTTTCCGAACGTGTGCGATCGCTTTCACTCGTCGTAACAGCGCATAAGCGCGCATAACGGATTTTACACGGTCCCACCAACCTACAAACCTCGAACTGCATATATGTAAGGAGTCAAGCATCGATTATACGCTGATCATTATTCCTAATCCGCGCTCTCGTCTGATCGTCGTTCACTCTCTCTTTGTCTCTCGGCCCCTCTCTCTCTCTCTCTCTCTCTCTCTCTCTCCCTCGCGTACGTCGCGTCGCGATTCTCATTGCGCCACATACGAGCCGTCGCGAAAGGGAAAAAAAATAATTCTGGCCGACGTGATTTTTTTTCCACGGTGAACTTCACCCGCGAAACGGAAATCCTTTCGACGTGGATTCCGAGAGCGAAATGATGGCGAGTCTCACGAGAACCGGTGATTTCCCGGCGATTATCCGTTACATCAAATTACTCGTACGCGCGTACGATGCTCAATTGCTCATAATGCAAAAGGATTAACTAGAACGATATACCGCGATAACTGAGAAAATATGATCGAAGCCTAATTGGAATCTGATATATATATATTCACTTTCCGATAAAATTGCGCGGTTTCTCGCGCGCGGAGCGCACATATAAAATTTTATAGACTGTGAAGAAACCAGATGTCCCTATATCAGATATCTTGATCATAAGATATCTTGATATTAAATGCCAAAGAGAGAAATAAATTAATAAATGAAAACTTTATAGAAAAAATTCCTTTAGTTAGCTTCTTTAAAAAATTAAATAAAAGTTTACATCCCTTTGCATTTGATTTCATCGACAATACCTATTATTTGTCCATCTTCCGCTTTCGCGTCCACGCATGTCGTATAAAGAATGAATAGACAACCGTTTATAAAAATAATCTGTCTATTGATCTCGTAATTCTAGGGATCCACTTTGGAGAATATCTCGAATGTAGCGACTCGCTCGACACAACGGCTTCGATTCAGGAAACCGTTGCGGAATTTTCTCTCGAGCTGTGAAGTGCGTGCTCACACCTGCGTGTGTCATTTACTCTTGCTCTTGACCTCTTGCGAACTCAAGTTCCAAGACCGCTCGCGCTCGCTCGCTCGCTCACGCGTTCTTCCGTCGCGCGCTCCGCGTTCTTATATCCTACGCATGCTGACGCAGCGCGAGTTCATCGCCAGCGGGGTATCAATCTTTATTAACAAGAAGATAATACCCTCCCGGCAAGATTTCGCCCGTGGCGGAGCGCTTCTTCTCTCTCGCGACTATCACTTTATCTTAACGCGGCGTTACGTTACATTGACGGTCTTACGCTGCAAATGACGCTAGAATATCTACACGTAATATCTAGCATAGGATATGTCTATGCTAAACTATCACTTTAGGCGCTGCACGATAGTTACCCGGCGATGATTTGAAATCTCAAGAGGAGCGTTCAATTCTATAGAACGTGACTTTTCAAGGAGTTAAGATAAACATAAGAGCTTCTCCCTTATGTCCAAGAAATCATATCGAAGAACATGTCACGTCCAATTATTTTGAGCATTCCATTCTCAAGACGTCAATATTCTCTCTTTGATTTCAGATGTCCAGATATCTCGGTCTGATATTTATTATCATAGCTGTTACGTACGCATATGGCAGGGAGTGCGACGGTAACGGTATGAAATTTGCATATATGCGGGGTGACGCGCTCACCGACTCCACTGACTGCTTAGGACCGAATAACATGCCGTATCCCACGTAAGTAGTAAAACCCCCGTTTTTATACAGTTCAAGTAATTTCATATAAAAAAAGTCTAAGAGACATTCAGAAGATGTTTGGAAGATTGAAATATTTTCTAAACATTTTTGTTCTCTGGTAACTTACATTCTCCGATTAGTAGTTTGAGCATTTTGCAGTTTCCGCTGGAAGATTAACAATTTACCATATTTGAGATAAAAAAACTGAAATGATGACAGAACCGTTACTCAAATGATTTAGATGAAAAATGATTTATTCTGCAAAAAATAAATTTGCTCATATTTCATAAAATTTAAAAATCTAATTTACCTTTTTTACATATAAAAGGGGATACAACTAAAATATTTTTGTTATAAATATTTCTTGATAAAATATCAATTTATCAATAATTTTAAGAAGTAAATATCGCATTTTTCTGAAATAGATATGCTTAAATTTACAATTAAAGTTTTGTTAATCGTTTCTCGCTTTAATTTGATTGGTGAGAGAACATCGTCAGGATGAGTTAAGTACACAACGTCGAGAACTATTGGACTATTGTTTGGAGCGGATTATACTCAAACTATCGACCGGTAGCATGTAAGAGAAGATCTTACAATTAATAATAGCTAGGCAGAATGTACAACGGATGTTATGTGTACCGTTCTCGGCAGCGCCGCGGTATCGAGATTGGCTAAGAACCTCTGGACTACGGGCAGTAGTCGAACCGGGCGATCGCACCAGCCACGGACGATTGATCCCGAACTGACGAGGCAGGCGCTTTTGCACAACTACAAAGTGGCCCACGGGGGCTATTCTATCGCCGGAAGCTCCCGGAACGGTAAGTCCGCGTTTAAACACGCAGTGTGTTCCCCCTCGTCATGGAACGCGCGTGACATTAATTCATTTTCTCTTTTACCTCATCCTAGAATTGCTTTATCTCGTTTAACTCCATTGCAGAGCTCGCGGATCGCTATTTTTCACGTCTTTATCTAAATGCGTGGCAACGGCTAATTATATTGTGAGTGACCCAATGGAAGTTGTTTACAATCTCGTTCATCTTCCGTCAACCGGTTTTATATCTGCACGTGCAACTTCGCTTCCTTCTGTTTCGCGTTGAAGTTTATTTTAATCCCATTGCTGTATGAACGAAAGCTAAGAAATGACAAAATCCAGTTTGTGTTCCTCTCAACTTCTGGGGTGCATATGAATAAATCTCTCCTATCTCGATTGAATAAATTGAGAACGATTAAATCACCATCATCCACAAAAACAAATGTGTTTTTGATCCTACAGTGTGTGAAGTATATGAACGGAAGTGTTTAGAAAAAAAAGATAAAGTCAATAACCACTTCTGTGTGCTTCTCTTAATTTCTTGGTGTAAATAAATTGCTATCTTGATCCTATCTTGATGGAATAAATTGAAGAGATAAATCTTGTTTTAGCTATTCGCTAAAAAAAAGAATCTCAAAAATAATCGTCGTCACAGCAATATCTCAAGCGAGCATAATAAGCGTTAAGAAAGAGTAAAACTAATAAATAGAAAAATTCGTTTTTATTACTTGTTTCATCTTCGGAAAAAAAAACGACTTCCAGGATTTAGAGATCCGCAAAAAAAGCCTATTTTATCGAACGCGAAATCGTTCCGCAAACGCGAATTATCCGGGAAGCGCAAGCGCTATTGCTTCGGTATTCGCATAAAACGACCCTGTTCCCACGTAGCCGAAGACCCCGGGAAAAAAAACCTCGTGGCGCGCGCTGAATGACGGTGAACAAGCGCTCGGGGCCCCGCGAGCAGGCCCCCACGAAAATTGGAACGGCCGGTCGCGAGGTAGGTACACCGATCGGAGCGTGCACAGCCGTTTACGATCGCGGCTTGCCCGCTGCCCTGCAGCCTTCAGTTATGCGGCTGTCCTGACACGAAAACCCGCTTCTAACCGACTTCTAACCACTCCGTGTTTCCTAGCCGGCCGTCGGGATTTCTGCGAAATTTGTGCGCGCGGCCGAACAAGATGAATCCCGCGCAAGTTTTCCGATCGGGGACCCGCCGCGCCGCCGCTGCCGTCGTGGTGCTCGATCCACCCGATAATAGTCGGTCGGTGGCGCACCCGATGGGCCAGCAATAAGGCATCGTGTGTTATCCAGCCAATACAGTTATCGTTCCTTGTGCTCATAACGGGACCCGCCGGCGACCCACTCGTCGTTTCGAGCATATATGCTCGCCTCGAAATGCTCGACGAAGGTCGCTGGTTCCGAGAGCGAATCTCTCGGCTTAACGCCAGTTGTTCACCAACATTATACTTTGTTTGCCGTAGGACTCGATCGATAGATTTTAATCACTTGATAGTCAAATGTAACGAATCGAGTTTCAATAGAAAGAATTTATTTTATATTATTACTGTTACCAAGTCAGGTAACAAGTTCTGAATGGCTTCTGAATTACTTGTTGAGAAGTGCTATCTCATATTTAAATAGGAGTCCGGAATATACTTGACATTTATAGAAAAAAATTATGTTAACTTTTTCTTTAAACATTTTATAGAAGGGAGAATTATCTTATCTAGGAAAAAGATTTTATTATTTGCAATTTTCACGCTGAATTTTTTTTTTTCACGCTAACGATGAGCAGAACGACGAAATTTCTCGCACGTTCCAAACATTAAGGAACATTGGCATGTTTAATGATACATATACTTGTAAAGATGCTGTTTTTTAATCTTCGTAATTCTAACAGGGACCCGTATGAATCCCGTAAGAATACGGGACCACATCTCGTACTATACCGTATTATAACGTTCTAGTGCTGTCAATAAACCGCAATAACGTTTTATGTTAAGTGTAGATATTTGCGCGCGTAAATAAGATACAGCTCGGAGAATACGATGCGTCAAGATTATAATGCATGTTACGCTACAATTGTGCATCATAATAAGAAAAAGAATTATATTCCCACGTAATGATAGTCACTGGATTTTCAGGCCGTGCGTTTTCCGCGAAGGAAAGTTGCGGCTCGCCCGCCCGACTCTGCAAAACAAGGTACAATACCACGGCACCTATGTACGGCATCAGCCTTACTAGCGGACAGCCAGTAACGATCGTGCAAAAGTTCCCCGATCTCCTGCAACAGGTCGTCTTCGAAGTCTGCGAGTGAGTATTTGCAATTCTGGGATTCTCGGGAAATTTGCAATCAACTTTTGCCCGACTTCTTAATTTTTTGCATCAAACTTTTTAACGAGTTTCAAATTAAGCTTATGCCTGCAGCGTTCACGCGCGTTCGAAGCTTACGCCTGAAATTAACCGAAAAAAAAAACTTTTATAATTTGTTTGTACTTTTAAAGAGATTGCTACGCGAAACCCACCTCTAATGGAGAAAACGTTTCGTAGACTTGCTCGGAAGTTTTAACAAACATTTTAATTCCGAATTTTATCCGTAATTTTAATTCCAAATTTACTCTAAAATATTTTATGGTTTTTTTAGCAGTCTACACGCACTTTGCTAGATACAATACCCTTTCTGCAGTTAATTTATGTAAATGGGATTCGTGTGTAGTCAATATTTATCAACACGATATATTGCATGAATTTTTGAACGGTGATTTATAAGAGCAGCGGGACATCGGGCCAGATTGAAATTCACTTGGGCCGCCCGCTCGCTGAATTAATTCGAATGTGGCACAGTAGGACGAACTGGTTTACCAACTCTGTGTGTTCGTGATCGACATGCGCCTACTTCTACGATCTTTTTTATGCGAAATTCTTTCAGATAACTCAAACATAGCTTTGTTAATACAAAACATCGCTATCGAATCAATGTTATACACATTATGTGTTAAAAAATGAAATTAAAGTTCTTTCGCAATTATTAATAGAAATAAATGATAGAACGTGAAGAATATACATATATTTCCACTAGCGGACATGCATCGAGACATATCTGAGAAACTTATGGTGCAGAATTATGATGAAACCATGCGAGAAAATAATTTGAAGGAATTTCCTCTTTTTCAAACGTTGCTCGTAAAGATCGTAAAGATATAGAGGCGAGTGTCGTAACGTATATACGGACAACTACATATGTACATCCTCGTCTCGTGGACGCACGTATTACACTCGAAGTTATGTCAGCTTACGTATTCGAGCGCTACGAAACCTTACGTCCGCTGGCGCAAACGCAACCCGTAAACAGCCTCTCCGTCCGGTGAACGAACCCAGCAGAATCTCTCTCATCGGTTGGTTGTTTCAGATCGAAGGAATGCGACGTGGTTCACGGCGAGTGCACGCAGACCTACGTACCGTACCTGTTTCTGGTGATTCCCCTCGGTCCAGTGACCCTGACCGGCCAGGATTACGTGCTGGTGGAGAGCGGTTGCGTCTGCAAGCCGAGAAATTCGGCGTCGGCGTCCACCGACGCGCAGCCGGCCGTTCCGAGCTTCTAATCGTTCGTCAAGTCCGCAAGTCGCTTGGCTACTCTGATTGTTCTTTGTCGGAACGTCAGGACGGGACTCATTCTAAACATCGCGTTTTATCAGGACGTCACGCTGTAGAGGGATTTCGGACATTAAAGTCCCCAAATGGCTCGACAATTTCATCGATGCGACTTTAGAGTACTATATTTCTTGAAAGAAATCTCTCCGGCAAGAATGTGTGGATGAATGAAACGAATTCCGGAACGGGATGAATCTGTCTTCTATTTCTTTTTTTTTTTTTAATTTTTTTAAAAGACATCGTTGCATAATTCCACACAGTTTGTTGTCCACGTTGGTCTTTTTAATTTAATCGATTATCAGCTATATATAATCGAATTTCACAATATAAAACGTTTGTTATTAATTTGTTAAGTATATTGTCAAATATTTTATTATCTTATTATTTCACTATTTTTTCTATGTAAGAGAGCTTTCTTTTTTTTCAATCTTGAAGGTTTTTGAAAAAATTTGGCTCTGAAAAGTGCAATTAAAATAAAAAGATGTCGGCTGATAAGATTAACGATACGGGACGAAGTACACTGAAGATTTCTTGAAAGAAATACTTTTAGCGAATTACCCTTCGTCACAAATCGCAATTAAATTGTCTTGCATTTGTGACGTTCGGTGGTCAATTGGGATCTGGACGAATTATCACGATGACGAGAATCTGTCGTTTGACATGAACGGAAGATAAGACTGTCGCAATTGATGGATTTCGTCGACGATAAATATCTCTCTCTCGACTCGAATTTACATACTCGTCTCTTATTAAGACACCTGATATACTTCTGGACTGATATTCGACGGATGAGTCAAATCGGTCTGCTCATTTAGTTACACTCGAGCCGATAATATAAAACGTGTTTCTAATCGAAATCTGCTCACGGGTAGCCGGAGCGTAAGGACGATTCGAGCATTATCCTCCTTCCGCTCTCATCCTTCTCTCTTTCTCGTGCCAAAAGCCTCGGCAGGACACATATTCCGGCCGACAAATGAAAAAGCAAATCGGGGCAGTGGACGGCCGTGCCGTTTCGCGGAATCCGGTCTCGGAATTCGATCGAGTTCACTAGACTCGCCGCCTCCCCGAGCCGGTTTCGAGCAGGTGCAAATGGCGTTTCAGATGAGCCTGGGTGTCCACCGACTGGAGGAACGTCGTCCACAGGCTGGCTGGCTCCCTTAAGCGCAACGTGTGTCGTAAAGTTATATCACACGCGCGCTGGATGCTGATCCTCACATCATATCGCAGTAAGACGCGGTTTTGCGTTAGAAAGAATCGACCGAGGAATCGTCGGCGCGACCTGTACGAGCGGGCGCTCGTCGCTATGTAATTTATCTTTACGGCGTATCGTACACTTTTAAGAATCATCCTGTCGACCCGGATTTCCGTATCGTTCGAGAATAACGAACGACGGAATCCAGATCTACGTTACTATACGTTACTATACTATACGTCGTACAAAGACAGGCACAGCACGGCGTTGAGATTTTAGATTTTCTAGAGAAAATATAATTTTTTTTTAACATAATTTAATTTGAAATCTACGTCTTTTTGCAGGTTACATTAAGTATTTTTAGAATAAAATTTAATCTGCAAATTTGTCATGTAAAGATTAATCCGAGAATAATCTGCTCTGTACTATTTCTACAAATCTTTTCGATACGCGAGTCGTTAGTTAAGGTATTAAATTATCATTAGTATAAAACCTGCGAACCTATCATATTGCAATAACGCCAAAACGCCTATTAAAAATGCTTAAAGGACGTCTATAAGACTTCCGTATCTTTCAGTCGTCTTCATGTCGTTTATTTTCTTTTTTTTTTAACACTCACGTTTCCCATATATAGCGCTAGCAATTATAGTAACACCGGCAGTAAGCGTTCTCCACTTGCTATGAGTATGTCATCATGACTTCAGCCTGCTGACCCAAAGAGAGTGAGAGAGAAAGAGAGATAGAAAGAAAGACAGAGAGAGAGAGAGAGGGTCAAGATCATCGTACTACTTCCTGCCCCGCTTACACGCGAGTTTCCCCCGACGCGAAAGATTATTGCCCCGTTTGCGCTGGCTCCTTCGAAGAAACCGGACCTCTCGTGAAACAAAACCTGCATCGTGACGGACGTACAACATACGTATGTACATACGTCGAGAATAGAGCATTCCGTGAATTCCGATGAGTCCCGTAATGTACCGTTACCCCGTCGGTTCGCGGATCCCCCTCACCCGGGCATCTCTCGCCTCTCGCCTGCCTCGCTCATCATTTCATCGTAAATGACGACGGGATGCGCGCAGCAGCAGCCGAAAATCAGGGTGCGTTTCGAGGTGGGCGTTTTACACGAGCGATTTTACATACGACGACCTGACCGAGAGTACAACGTACATACAGCGAATTCGAAAGTGGCATTTGAAAGAAATCGACGCGTTTCTACGGCGGATTACTCAGGAGTGACATAATTGCGTTAATTCATAAAAGTTTATTACTGCATCTCGTAAATTGTACTGAACCGTATTCTCAACTAAATATCGACGATCGCCCGGCTCGCGTTCAAGGAACGAACGGCAATTCCGACCGCAGACGAATACACGTGCGCGATATAGATGGATTCCTCATTTTCATGTCACCGGTTTGTATTTATAGCTGTAACATGCATTCATGTATTTATAATTTATTATTAGATTATCACACATTTTGTGTAAGTCTCGTGAAATTATTTTTTCCTTCCTTTTCTCCCCTCCCATCCGCTCTCTAATTACACGCTGCTTATTTTTATTTTTTTCTGTGACAGCTGCAGTGTATTAAAGTGCCTTTAAATCTGTGCCTATATTTTACAGAATAAGATTTATTTACAATAAAAAGTTAATTTTTCCTTAACTTGCGTATTACTTTTGATTTAAAGACCAGAATTTTGGATATTTCTGTTTAAAAAAAAATCGAATAATTTCAAATTGATAAAAGAATTTTACTATAAAGATCTCGTCGAGGTAAACTTAAAAACATTCTGAGTAACACGCGTTAGTCATGATTGTGTACCTTATTTCATGTTGTAAATCATGTCAGAGCGTGTGTTTCTTTCTCCTTTTTGTGTGTTACTGATTATTACACGTTTCCTAATGGATTCCCCTGTCTTGTGCAATAACTGACAACTACTACATAACGCGCGACGTGACCGTCGTATGTGATTTATGTGGTACATTAAAGGAACACAACCGCACCGTCAGCGATCGAGATTCTTGGCGCCGCAAATGCAGGCGGAAAGACCCTCGCTTTGACTCGCGCTCTAGCATCCTCTATTTTTAGTACGTAACGGTACTGAAAGAGTTGCATACGTATACACAAATGTGATAACAAGGAATTTTAATGTTTGTCCCTATTATACGTGCAAGCTAACTGCATCTACAAATTGTAAATATATAAATTCATATAAGCGCATAAAACGGATGTGTAAATGAATGCGTATTCGAAAACGCACGGCGACAGAAATGCAATTAATGTTTTTCCAGTGTACCTTTATGATTTCTTTATGCAATTTAACTGTATTTCTACAGTAATAAATATTAATATTAGTAATTAAATGTTAGTAATGTGAATAATTAAATTTTGATCATATGTTATGAATATTTAAGATATAATTGTAATCTAAGAGAAAAAGAGAAGCTATTATTATATACACACAAAGTCTATATATATAAATTTAAATATAACTATAAAATTAAATTTAGAAAGTATTCAATAATTAATATTCTTTCATAATAATTCGCATACGGAATATAATATATAGAAACTTGCGCATTGTTAAATTAAGTTAATTCATACTACATACTTTAAAGTTTAAAGAAAAAAATATTAGTATCAACAAGATATAATTTCAAAAATTTATATTGTATATGTATATGTTATATGCAAGATCATTATCGAGAGTTCAAGCTCAATGGATAAACTCAATAGAACAGTAACTGAGCGTCGGTAATGTCACAATCTTGTGCTTGATGTAAAAACCCAGATAATTATAAGCAAATTAAAAAATCATGAATTAGCGCGCACTTTTGTGTTGCCGATAATTTGAAGATCCTCTCATCAACGAAACATAATATGCTACAACTGTATTGCTCAATATTTCTAGTTCTCCATTTAACAATAAACAACTGTGATTTAATCGAGACGTACATTTCACATTACAGTAGCATTACAGGAACTCGATGTAATGGCGAAACCGCGGATCCGCCGCCGTACAAATATTAGAAAAAAATGCAAATGATGATACATACCTGCGGTCATGTTGATATGGTATACCCGTGCTTTTAATGCACTCCAAGTAGAAGAGCTGGCCGGGTGTCTCCAATTGAAACACGCGAAGACGACGTTTGTAGCGACCGGTGCTACACGCGGGCGAGAACGCGATCGCGGTGACGCGACGCGCGACGTATAGCGATTGCATGGAACGTTTAACTAAACACATTACGGACGATGCCTCAATATGCAATTAATTACGACAATCGAGGAACTCACGATAATTCTTCGCTCGCGAGTCTCACTTTCGTTTCGGATTCCGAGAGATACGAATTTAAACAATTCGAATGCGATTTCACAATAAACCATACCGCGCCGCCGCGCCGCGGCATTCGCGATGTGTCCGGCGCGTCACAGCTATACGATCTGTAAAACTATACAGCCGAGCGATATCACGATTCCAATAATTTATACCAGAAAACGCCTTCGGAGTGACGATACTGATTGCATACTTCACGCCACAATGTTATGATTGATATCGTATATGCGTATGTCCATTATGCACTCCGAATAGAAAGTATATATTTGAAGACGACGCTTTCTTGCGACTTCGAGGTGTTCGCCACTCGGCGAGAGTGCGACCGTGGCGACGCGATGCGACGATTGCACGAAACGTTTTAACGCGTTACCGTTGGGTAGTACAGTGAAGAGCAATGAATCGCAGGGTCACATAGATTGATGATTTTACCGACATGTCTGATTTGTTAGACACGTATCTGACCAGTCCATACATAATTATTAATTAAAAGATAAATAGTTAATAACTTTTAACTTAGTCAATTTTTAAACGAGTTGACTATTAACTTCAACTCGTTATTTTTAAATATATATAAACTTTAACTAATTATTTATTAATTTTTTTCTAAGTTAAAAATTTATCTATTTAAAAGAAAAACATTTTCATGTAAAGAAAATATCTCGTTGTTATTTCTCATAAACTTAATTTTACAAATAAAATATTAAATTGATTTGATTTATATATACTGTAATTTTTACCTACCTTTTCTACCAAAGTGTACCGACTCTATAAATTTCATGTTCTATGGTTAGTACACGTCATTGGTGGATATATGTTGTGATAGAACTTGACTGAACCGACCAATTTTTGCTCGCAACTTTCGAAATTGTTTGAACGTAGAATAGGATTACTACGTTATTAACCAAAAATATTTTTTATGAGAACAAAATGGAGACGTTGTACCACCAGACCAACAAATTAATACAGGAAACGCAGCACATTTTCTCGCAGCTTGAGAGAAAGTCGTCCGACGCACAGCTGCAGGAAGTGAAGCAGGCTATCGAAGACAAAATCGGTCTTATCAACAGGTAGTTAAGAGTTAGGATGACAGATTATTCATAAATTGTTGCGTATGATTACATTTTTACACGACTTTCCTCAAGCAATTGCGAGCGACTCGACGTGCTGTGCCTCAAGGGTCCAGTGTCGCAGAGGCAGAACAACAGGATGAGGGTGGATCAGCTGAAGTATGACAGCCGTCATCTCAGCGCGGCCCTGAACTCGTGGTGCAGCCGCGTGACGCGGCAGCAGCGGGAGGAAGCGGAAAGGGAGGCCCTACTGGCCAGGAAGTTCACCACGAACGACCACGTGGACATCTTCATCGATCACACCATGCAGCACAATAACAGCCTGCACAACGCCGTTCACGGCATAGACGATCTGCTGCACCAGGGCAGCAGTGTCCTGGATAACATGAAATCGCAGAGAATAACGTTGAAGGGGGCCCACAAACGCTTGATAGACATTGGCAACACCTTGGGTCTCTCCAATACCACTATGAGGCTCATAGAGCAACGAGCCAAGCAGGACGGATTTATCTTAGTCGGCGGTATAACCTTCACGTGCATAGTCATTCTCTTGGTGATAGTTTACCTCACTTAGGCACATTCCAAAGATCAGATTAAGCGTAATGTATCTGCGATTAATTGTGATTAATTGCGCGATTTATATATTTGTTAATTTTTATCCCTTTTATCAAATTTGCCATCGGCTTACGAGAAAGATAGGTGTTGCAACTATTTAAGATCATTTACTGTAAGCATATTATACGTATGTAAATATAGACGCTAGACAAGTCCGACCTACAAAATGTTATTTATATTTTATGCTAAAATATAATATTTGTATATTTTATTGCAAATCCAGTGTTGATAGTATTGTATTTCATAACGATGGAGTTCGACAATTTTCTTGAATGTTATATCGAATAAAACTACTCATATTTTTAATGGTAAAAAATATGAAAAAGTTTTAAGAGTGCCCTCTCATAAGTATATGACTTATATATAAATAATATAAATTAATCTACAGATTAACTGCATACAGTATTTTGTTGATTTTATCCATAATTTATTCACTCTTCGATAACTTTTTCAAATATTTATTATAAAATTGTGTTTAGTGCAGCTCTGATTTCCTTGTTTCTCGTTTTTTTCTTACTAAAGCCTGAAAATTGTATTGTGTCACATAAATACAGACGCATTGCAAAGAACGGGATCCGATAGCTCACGTCGCCAATTGGTTAATTAAAAAAAATTGGATAAATTAAAAAATAAATTTAATTTGAAAAAAAATTAAATTAAATTAAAAATTTTCCTAATTGATTAGACCAGCGGAAAAATCGCTGTCGCTGTAAATGGTGTGGCAATCACCCTGTGCCAATGGGATCCTTCCTAAACGCCGAATTTAAAATCCGACCGTATGTACTTCTCATTGCTGTCTTTTTCTATGATCAAATAACCTACCTATTTTAATCTAACCTATCTTTACCGTGTCGGAGTCGGAGACACGTGCGAGAGGAGAGATTGAAGGCGTAAATTCACCATCCGGTGGAACAACACAACAAAAAGCTCCCCCGTCGGAGCCACGCGTGATGTTAGTGCAATTTTTCTGTACACGTGAAACAACGTTTCTGTAATATATAAAATTTCAGAAATTGAGGTTATTGCGCCTGTAACTTGGTAGAGTGATCCTGAGTGATCAACAGTAGTCGGCAATAATGGACGAAATGTTGAAAGACGCGCGTTTCGCGCACATCGCGAGAGATCCCAAGTTTCGTCGCATTCCCAAAGCTGAGAGGAAGGTGAAGATCGATCATCGATTCAAGGGCATGTTTAAGGATGAAAAGTTCGCCGTGAAGTACACCATCGACAAGCGCGGTAGACCTGTCAGTCGGACCACCACCGAAGATCTCAGAAAATATTATGATCTGTCGAGCAGCGAGGATGAGGCCGATGAGGATGCATCTGTGCCATCTACAAGCAAGAAAGACAGCGAGAAAGAGGTGAAGGACATCAAGGAGAAGAAGAAAGGCAAAAAGGAGGCGACGGAGGAAATTGAATCGAAAACCGACTCTGCGAAGGATTCCTCAAACAAGAAGAACAAAGATGATCGTTTGTCGAGTAAGAAAGATTTGTCTGAACTGGAAACGAAAGAGGAATGCCCCGATGATGAGGAATCTAGTGGTGAGGATAGTGCCTCGGATAGTGAGGATGAATCTGTCGAGAAAGAATTTTCTCAAGTAGAGCTAGATAAAAATGATAAACAGCTGCAAAAAAGGAGGACGAACGAGAACGGTAGACTCACAAACGAAATTAAAGAGAAACTGAAGGATCTTACCGTAAATTATGCCAGAGGTGAAGGTGTTCTGTTGACTGATAGTTCTTCGGAAGAAGAATCATCTGAAGCTAGTGGTAAAATATTATATTTATTATATCTTACTCTGATCATCTTTATATAGCTGCAAAGATAAATCTCTTTACTTTAATCTTACTTAGATATCGAGGAAGAGATTGAACATAACTGGGGTGAACTGGACAAAGATGCTGAAACAACTGACGAGATAACACGTCGATTAGCTATTTGTAACATGGATTGGGACAGAATACGTGCTGTGGACTTGATGATTTTGTTAAACTCATTCTTGCCCAGCGGTGGACTCATCCAATCAGTTACAGTAATTATTAAAATATAATTAATAACATTGTATAAATATATCGATGTATTTCTGTTTTTATATTTTATATATTTGATTAAAATATCTTTAATTTATTGTTGCAAGAAATTATAATAGTACTGCAATTAATAATTATGCTAATATATTGATTTTGAATATATTTATTTATTTCAGATTTATCCATCAGAATTTGGCTTGCAACGAATGAAGGAAGAAGAAATTAATGGGCCAACAGAGCTGAAGAACAAAGCAAATGGAAGTGAAGACGAAATTGAAGATGATGTATGAAATAATGACTTTCTATGTGTTTCTTACAATATTTCTTTTCTCATTAATTATTACATTGATTTCTTTTTTCTCAGAATGAAGAAGGTTCGAAATATCACATGGAGAAATTGAGACAGTACCAATTGAATCGATTGAAATATTATTATGCTGTTGCCGAATTTGATTCTGCAGAAACAGCGAACAAAGTATACACGGAGTGCGATGGTATTGAGTACGAATCGACTGCAACTAGATTAGATCTTAGATTCATACCAGATGACATGACATTTGATCAGGTATCTTTTAAAATCATATTATAAGTTACACATCAAAAGTCTATTAAGGTATTAAGAAACATTAAAATTTCATACGTGAATTGCTTGTTAAAGGAATCTAAAGAGGTATGTACTGAGATACCGGAACCCGTGAAATATCAACCACGACAGTTTACGACAACGGCATTGCAACAAATTAAAGTCGAGTTAACGTGGGATGAAACAAATCCAGATAGGCAAGAGTTCACGCAGAAGCTGAACTCAGGAAAGCTACAGGAGGTTGATGAAAACGATCTACAGACATACCTGGCAAGCGGTAGCGAGGATGACTCAGGTACGATGTTATTTTATTTTGTATACTGCTGTTATTTTATATCAAATCTAAATTTATGTTTATTATATTTCAGATACAGAGGAAAAGAAAGACGTAACTGAGGAGACCAACGATAATTCGGAATCGGAGGAAAATGATGATCCAATCGGAAAGTACAAATCTTTACTTAAAACGATTGAAGAAGAAGAAGAGACAAAGAAAAACAAGGATGTCGAATTAGAATTCTCATGGGGTTTAGACACCAAAGAAAAGGCCGAAAATTTAGTCAAGCAGAGAATGAAAGATAAGGAAGAACTTACGCCTTTTGAACAATACCTAGAGAAACGCAAAGCGAAAAAGAAAGCTAAGAGAGAGGAAAGGAAGAAGCTTAAAGAAGAAAATAAGGAATGCGATTCGGAAGATTCTTTGCCGTCTGACGTAGATATGAATGATAAATATTTCGCGGAGGAATTTAAAAATAGTAAATCATCCCGTAGAAAGGGAAAAAAAGATAAGAATGAAGCTGAAGGTGTCATTGATTCGCCGAATGAGCAGGAAGAAAGTCGGCGTAAAGCCGAATTGGAATTGCTTTTGATGGATCAAGATGAGGACGGTAAAAAGCATTTCAATATGAAGCAGATCGAAGAAAATGCAACCATGTCAAAATCTAAACGAAAACGTCTCAATAAAAAGAAGAAGGTGCAAGAAGCAGCGAAAGAAGACGACTTCGAGGTTGATGTTAAGGATCCGAGATTTGCCGCTTTGTATTCGTCACACCATTTCAACATCGATCCCGCGGATCCACGTTATAGAAAGACGAAGGGCACGGAAGTATTAGTTAACGAAAAATTGAAGAGAAGAGCTGATAACGAAGTACACACAGAGAATGTAAGTAAAGAACATTTAACGTGTAAATTAAAGGACATTTTTATTAGCAGCGAATTTATATATCCTTTTCTCTAATGCATATCGAAAATTTTCAGGACAAGCAATCGAAAAGACCAAGAACAGACGAAAAACTGCCGACGGAATTGCAAGCTTTAGTTAAATCTGTTAAGAAAAAAACACAAAATATCACACAGCCGATAAAAGGATAAGATAATAATTATCTTGTTATATTATTATAATAAATAAGTTATATTTTACATATTGATAAAAAAAAACAATTTTTATAATTCCTTTTTATCTTACATTTTTCTTTATCATGAGTAGCATTTCATTTTTGTGATAAAATTCATATTTATAAGAAATGATAAATTTTTATTGTAATACACTATCATAATTGCTATTAACAAATTTATTAAGATTATTAAAAAATATATAATATATGTATATTTATATATATAACTTTTTTAATGGAATGTGCAGCTATCAAAAAAAAGAAAAAAGAACGCTTTAGGGCGGCCTTCCATTGTAATTAAAGATGAACATACATCCTTATGTCTTAAATTTATACACAAATTACAAGTATCTCGAAATAATAATATTTTCATATTTTCTCAACAAATAAATTACTGGACTCAAATTTTTTTGTGGACAATTCCATCGCATTAACGCATCGTCTGTCGGTCGCTATGTGCACGTTCCATTAATGCTAGGGAATTTTCAGGCCACTGTCGCGGCTTCGCCTGGTAAGTTGGCGTCAGTATTTAGTAAATGTTTTACGATTTGGCAAAATATATTTTCAAAACCGTAAAGCATAGATGCTTGCGTATCGATCCCGTCTGTCCGAAAGTCAGATAGGCGATCAGGCGGCACGATATCCCATCCCGGGTTACGGTCCATTTGTGCAACACGTGTAATTCATTCTCGGGACCGATTCGCGCACAAGTGTGAGAGGGACATTGGTTATGTTCGCTCTGTTCTGGGTGAAAACAAATTGGGGAGCGATGTAGCGGTAAGTAGCAGCGAGCTCTGATCCGCTCTGTTCGCGCCTGTTGTCGCGAAAAAAAAAAACTCTAACGCACGGTGCACTTGCAGCGACGCGAGGCACGCCCGGTTAGCACGCGCGGAGATTTGTTTCGTCGATCGACTGCCACGAAAAAGCCCGCATAAATGTACGGCGGCGGCGGCGGCGGCGGTAGCAGCAGCAGCAGCAGCAGCAGCAGGTGTAGCAACGTCCCCTGCAAGGAACATCGGAACAATGTCCGACGGTTCTAAGATGGGCCTGTTCGGCTCCAAGGACCGGAATCAGGAACAGAAAGAGAAATCTTCCAAGGACAACTCCCCAGCGCGTTATGCGCCGTACGGCGTTGACAGCGACACCGAGACATACGACACCGAGGCCCTGAGCATGATGGATATCAACGACATCATCGGCGTGCAGTCCGGCGAGCCGATCGGCGACTCGACTCTGGAAAGCGAAATCGCCGCTCTCTCGCAGATTATTACGGAATCGAAGGTGGAGCCGATTCTGCAGTCGGAGAGCTCGAAGCCGGCGATGCGGCAGGACTCTTCTCCCGAGATACCCACTTCGAGCACCGTCTGCATCGCGAGCGTCGATGATTCTAATGCCGACGAGTTCAGTATCGTGTCGTCTGAAAAGTATGCAGGCAGCGAAATGCGGAAAGAGACGTCTGAACTTACCTGTGAGAATGAGACACACGCAGATTCGTCGATCGTAGAGGAGAGTGTTTTACAGAATGTGGTAATGGATTTTGTGACCAAACGTGATGAAGCTTCCGACGTAAGTACTAACGAAACAGTTTGTGATACATCTGTAGTTTCTACGTCAGAATTGTCTTCCAATGACAAGTCGAATAGTGAGATTAATTCCTCGACTGTCACGTCGAACGACGCTTTACAGGGTACTGCCCGGAACGAGCAACGAGTAGACGCCGCTTCTCCCGCGGATCACGAGAAAAGTGTTGCTGACAAAACGGAGGATGTAGCTGCCGACAAAACGATCGACGGTCAGAGCGAAGCCAAAAGCGGTACGAGGCCCGTGGTGACGGTTGGTAACATTAGCAAGAGTCTGCAATTGATAGGAGAGGCATATAATTCTGAAGACTCGGAGGAAACGGATGTGAACGACAGCGACTCGTCGAAAGAGACTCCGTCGCTTTCTATTCCTACAGAAACCCCATTGCCGGATATTCCTGCGAAACAGCATAAGGAAGATGATTCTGAGGCAACTGATATATTAGATCAAACTACTGAAATCCCTTCAAAGTTAAGTAACACTGCAAGTGCGGCTGTTTCAGAAGAATTAAATACGAAAGTGGAAAACGTAGTCAAAATAGAAGATTCAAGTATAACAGAGCCAGAGGACTCTAATCGAAGTGAAGCGTCGCAACAAGTTTTAGAAATACAAGGGAACGATACTGTCTCGAATAAGGTAGAAGAAAGTATCGATAATGAGACGTCAAGTCGCACACAACAAAGTGAAAATGACACTGAAATAAAAATGGATACAGCTGAAGGAACAGTATTAAAACATCAATCTTCCAATGAAACTTCTAAAGAAACTGTAGATACATTTGTTGATACATCTATTATATCGACAACGGAAAATACAGAAGAAAGCATGGAAAGTACTGAAATAGAGTCAAGTATATCGGCTCCTGAAACGGAAAAGCAAGATAATTCTACAGTTTCTAGTGACAAAGAACTGCCAGATACAAGAAAAATAAATGATAAATGTCCTGTTATTGATGATGCAAAGGAACTTGTAGAAAATGTACTCGAATGTGAAGATAAAGACACCGTTTTGATATCTGCAACTGAAACTCAGAAGTCTACCGTACCTGAGATATCTGATAAGAAATTAGGTATGCCAGAAGTGACAAGTAAAGATGATTCTCAGGAAGCAGATATCAATGAAAGTTCTCAGATGACAGACGAGGTCGTTTCGATAACGGATAAAATTGATGATTCTCAAGAAACGGTTTCTAAACAAGAAGATGAAAAAACTGCTATAATTGCTGATAGTCAAGATAATGTAGAGGCCAATGCTGAAGAAACACCTGTGCCAATAGATATATTTCAAACTGCGTCAGATACAACTAATAAAGAATTAATTTTAAATGAAGGTACATCAATGAGTCATCCATCTGTTGAAGAAAAGGATGCAACGACCAGTGTACGATCTGCAGATTTACCAAATGAAGAAAATTTAGATTTGTACTCTGAGAATTTAATAATGCAAAGTGAACCAACGCCTGTTAATTTTCATGATTCTGAAGAAGCAAATGTTTGCACGAAAGAAGAAATTCCTGAGCAAACACTCGAGTCTCCAGTTGAATATGACAAATCTGTTACACAATTTCCGTCTGAGTCAGAAAAATCTGAAATTAATGATACTGTATCTAGTAAATTCGAGGAATTACATTCTGCTTTGGTCTCGCAGGAAGATTCCAGTAACATAATTGAAAATGTAAGCAAGCCTGAGGCTGAAAAAACAGAGGATGGAGAAGAGAAAATATCGGAAGCAATATCACCATCTAAAGCTCAAGATCAAATTCCATCAATGGAAAATAAACCAGAGCAAACACTTGATCGATCTGAATCGTGTGTTCAAGAAGAAGTCAGTTCATCTGTGCAGATAGACAATAAATTAACTTCGGAAAATGTTAAATCTGCCAATGTGTTATTAAAGAATGATACAAATTCATCATCGACTGAAAATTTGATTGTGTCAGGAAGTGATGTAACAGATGACGCGTGCAATACAATACAGAAGGAAGATAATGATATGGAAAACATTACTGCTGAGATATCATTGAAGGAGACAGCAATAAAAGTATCAGAATTAGATGATACAGAAGTTAAAGAAATTGAAAAAAATGAAAAAGAAGAAAGTCAAGAAATAAGTTTAGATCTGCAATCGATAATTCCAAAAGTAGATATTCAAACAAATCCAGAGGATATCAATTTACAAGACGATGGTGATACGAAACCATGCGAAAAGACTACAAAAATACATATATCTACAGAATCAAAAGAATCAATCGATGTCAATGTAACGCCGATAACCGGAGAGAATGATGACGTGAAATCGGTTGTAGAAGAATCTGTTGATGCCAATTTAAAAGAGGTACAGTCAAGCGTTATTGATATCTCTTTGTTACACGAAAGCTCGAACGAAAAGATGAATGCCGAAAAGTTAACGGAGAAACTGTCTCAAGATTCAGAAAGCATGGATGCCCCAGCTACTGCTCAAACTGTAGACGCTCTGGAGGGACTTTTGGACATATCTCTTATGCCGGACAGTGAAACATCTTCGTTAAAAGACATGAAAACCGAAGATAAAGCCCTGATGGAAGAAATAGTAAATAAAAATATTGATATGGATCTCTTGTTAGATCATGCGAATCAAAGCGAAGCAACCATGACGCAAAATTCAGACTACATAACAAACGTGATTGCTAGTTGTTTGACAAACAGAGATAATGAAATGAGCGAGGCTGATATCAATATACCGAGTAATGATAAAACTACCGAAAACGAGGATAGTAGCTTAAAAATGAACGAAGACGTTAGTATGGAGCCGGTGAGTGAGACGACGGATAACGAGAAGATTGAAGAATCTCTTGGAACAGATAGCAGTTTGCAGCCGAGCGATTTGGACATGGATTTCGAGAACAATCGATTGGAGTCGGTCGACTTGGAGGAAAGTGAAACGAAGCTGGAGCTGCCGCAGGACATTCTCGAGGGCGTGATGCCAAGCGAGAGTCTCTCCCGTCACGCCGACACTCCGTCCGTCATCGAGAATTCGCAGTCGAGCTCGGAAATCTCCGAGTTGGAATCTGCGGTGAAATTCTTGCAGGAATCCGAGGAGCAGACGATAGACTCTCTGGTGCTCTCGCCGAAAATGGTGGAGAGCGTCGTCGAGGATATAACGAAGCAGGCAAACGCGGAGCTCTACGTGCCCGATGAGATGGACAATTACACGAACGCCGAATCGGAATTGGCGCATCTGAGAGACGTCACCGCCGCGGATTCTATCTCTATCTCGGAAGCCGAGATCATATCGGAGGCTGCTAAGCTGGAGAACGAACGGAAATTCGCGACGCAGATGCAGAACGTTCCTAGTATCGTTGTGAAGGACACCGAAGAAATAAATGAGGAGACGTTACAGGATCACGTGTGTTTGAAGACTTCGTCCGACACGACTTCTGTCGCGGATAATTCCTCGAATGTGCAAACGGCGGAACAGTCGCACGAAGAAAAAGGAACTGTACCCGATATTAGACCGAAGATCGAAGAAATTTTGTCGAACGAACCTTTGAGAATACCTATTCTGAAAGCATGCGATCTGATCCCGAGGATATCGATATTGGAGGAGCGACTGAAGGTACCGCCAAAGATCGAGATACCCGTTCCAGAATCGGCTAAGATTCCGGAATCTTCCATTAGCCCGAATGATAGTCTTCTCATACCGAAGGACGCGAGAGCTATCTCGTTCTCGAGGACTTTGGAGTCACCGAAGTCGGCTGATAAAACCGAGTCGAAGGGCGCTGAGACGCCGCGCAAGGACTCCGAGAAACACTCAGACTTCGAGAACGTCGGTTCGCCGAGGATAATCCTGAAGATCGCTAAGTCGGCGATCACGGACTGCAGCGAGCCGCGATCGCCGAAGAGTCCGAAGATCCGATCGGCTACGAATTCGCCTAATCCGGAGGACAGTCCGGGTCAGAAGTTGGGAAAGATTAAATTGAAACTGTCGAAGGGGGGCCATCCGTCTATAATATCCAACGAGAATCTGGACGAAGTCAATCAGTGGCACACCACCGAGAACACATCGTCATTATCTCCTATCGGCATGAAGATCAAGCTGTCCAAATCCGGCGACGCTTCAATTGTAGCTACAGAGAAACACGAGAGTCTGGATGACTCGAAGGAGACGAAATATAAAATCGAAGAGCCGAAGAGAACGGATTCGCCGATCGGTATGAAGCTGAAGGTATCCAAGTCTGGAGATGTTTCGATCATCTCCGATTCCAGGCAGCAGGATACCAAAGAATCTCTTACGAAGCACAAGGAAAAGTTGGAGATACCGCAGGGAAGTCCGAAGAGGACAGAATCGCCAATTGGAATGAAGATCAAGCTCTCCAAGACTGGTGACGCTTCGATCATTCAGACCGACAGGCAAGAATCTTTGGAGGAGCACAAGGAAGTTATGCAAAAGCGGACCGATTCTCCAATTGGCATGAAAATTAAACTGTCGAAGACCGGTGACGCTTCTATCGTATCGCCGGATGCTCCTGAAGACTCGTCTACGAAAGTGAAGGAAAAAGACTATTTGGAACTACCGAAAAGGACCGAGTCTCCAATCGGAATGAAGATAAAGCTGTCCAAGTGCAAAGGCGGCGCATCTATTATTTCTGTAGACAGCACTGAAGACACAAGAGACAAATTGGAGGTACCCGATCCACCTAAACGCACTGAGTCGCCACTCGGTATGAAGATAAAGTTATCCAAAACCGGAGATGCGTCTATTATACATTCTGAGGTCACAGAAGACGTTAAAGAAACGAAATACAAAGACAAGTCCGAGGTGTTGCAAGACAAAACGTCAGAGACTTCCGGGATCAAGATCAAGATGAAGACAGGCGAAGCAGCGTCGTCGGTATCGCCGGATATTATTGAAGAGCAAGATGTATTCCAAGCCTCCGAATCATCCACAGGCAGCATTCCGAAGATCAAAGTATCCAAATCTGGAGATACGTCGATGGTTTCTAATAAAATGGAATCAACAGAAGATTTGAGATCACGGGAAAGTCATCAGGCGGAAGTACCAAAGAGAACGGAATCTCCACTTGGCATGAAAATCAAGCTGTCCAAGAGCGGCGACGCTTCTATTGTACAGAGCGAGGCTGTCGCTGAAGAGCATCCAAGTAAGAGTACGCGTGCGTCTGATGCGGAATATTCGAAAGGCAGCGACTCGTCCCTCGGCATGAAGATCAAGCTATTCAAGACAGGTGACGCTTCGGTAGTGGAGACACAATCGTCCGGTTCTTCCGAGAAGAAGGACAAGCAGCAAAGACGCAAGGACACTGCCGAATTGCCGCTAGAGATGAAGATCAAGCTATCCAAGACTGGCCATCCCACTATCGTGACGTGCGACAGTCACGGCGAGTCCTCCACGCACAAAGGTAAGGATCCAGTTGCTGTGGATCCGTCGATAAATTTTTCTCAAAGGTATATGGAGCATGCCGCGACGCATAAGGAGTCGACATTGAAGATCCTCAAGACCGGTCACCATCCGTCCATTCTGCAGAGCAATCGGTCTGAGCTGACGATCGAGCCGGTGCAGATGCAGAGCAAAAAGCAGCCGGCGGAAAATGCCCAGCAGCAGATCGAAATATCGCCCAAGCGTAAAGACATAACAATCTCGCCGGTCGAGAGCAAGAAGTCCAAGTTGGAGGCGCAGTTCTCGCAGATCCTGCCGGAGGTCACCATCCAACCGGTGGTATGTCGGGATCAGAAGCAGCAGCAACAGCAGCAGCAGCAGCAGCTGTTGCTCGATCCGAAAACGAGTCTAATCAGTCGACAGCAGATGAACGTGATCAACCAGGAGATCAGTATCACGCAAGTGCGGCCGGATAACGCGTCCGACAAGTTCAAGGATATGCATTGCAAAAATTCACCAGGCGGATTGTCGGATTGCGAGATCATCGAGCATCGTCCTGAGCTGATAATCGTCAACGAGAATTCCAACTCCAGCCAGGATGTCGTCATCATAGAGGAGGTGCCTAGTAGAATGACCGATGTCAAGGTGCCGAAGAAGAGAGGCAGACCGCGAAGGAATCCCGCGGCGGTGCAACAGCATCTTCAACAGCAGTCTGCACAAATGCTGCCGAGGGATCCTCTGGCCCTGGACGAGGTGCAGCAAGTTCCTCCGCAACAATTTGAACACAGGGAAAACGAGAGACCTAAGAGAACCTGCAGGAACCAAAAAAGTTACGCTCCACCCAAAAGAGGCAGAGGACGAGGTTTGTTTCTCTCGTAATTAAATATTGATGATTAAAGATTGTGGATAAAAAAATATGAGATAAATTAAATCGTTGAACAAAATAAACTCTTGACATTCTAATTAGTCTACAATACATACGACTGATATTATAACGAAAATATTAATTTAATTACATTAATTTCTGGTTATATAATTATACTAAATCATGATTTTTAAATTAAAGCAAATAGATTCTTGCAACTTACAAAAAGATGCTTCTTATCAATATAAATGGTAATCTCTCGTAGATGCGAAAATTTTCCAATACTTGTACAATTTATTATAAATTCAAGAAAAACCATCTTAAAGTTTTTCTCGATTATAGCAAGAAAAAATAAAATCTCTGCATGACTCTACAAACTAGCCCGATTAAATCGATAAATCTCTCTTCTTATTTGAAAAATCGCTTTCGAACATAAAGACTATACTTGAAATTATTTAGTAAAATATATTATGAAATATACATAATATGCAAATACATATTATGAAATAATAGTGTAATGTGTATGGAAACTATAAGTTTTAAAAATATTGTTAAATTTATAAGTTAATAACTCCTATGTTAATAATAATGATGTCAGTTGGATACAGAATAATTAATATCGAGAATTTATCGTGTTAATAACCAATAAGTGATCTTAGTTGCTGGTAATGTATATCGCAATAAATTGTATGTATTATTGTATTATATGTATTTCAGTCTTGGAAGTCATGATAACTTGAATATTTTCGATACATGTTTGTGTCAATGTTGAATTTGTTTATAATTTATTTGAAGAGCTAATTTGAAAATTAATTTTTTAATATTGCGTTTTTTATCTTATGTTCTCTTTGATTTTGATTTATTTCAATAAAAGTTTAAATAAAAAAAATTTATAGATATTCATTTTATATATTTATGTAGATACGCAAATCTCAGACTGGAAATATCCATCTTTTTACGAAATTGATTGAAAAAAGGATTCGCGCAAAAAAGAAAAATAAGATACAGTACAATGAGACTACAGACAAAAAATAATTTTATAGAATAAAAGAATGTAAAGAAAAAAGACATAATTTCCACTTCAATACTTATATTTTAATAATTTATATTTTAATAGTCTTTCTCTCTTTAATAAAAGACATTAATTTTTCTTTTATTATGTCTAGGCCGCGGTAAACGGAAACTGGATAACGTTGATCCTCAAATTGGAAAGAAGACTCGTATAGAGCAAGACTTATCCGCTATAGAGGCATCGACAATGGCTGTCATTACTATCGACGAAACACCAGTACAACAAGACCCGCTTCGAAAATCAGAGCTGTACAAGGCACTGAAACAACCGCCCATAGATCGTAAAGGCATGAGTTCTGCGTTAAGTCGCAAAGAAGCCGGGAAAAAGGACTCTAAAGCCTCGAACTCTGAGAGCGCGATGTTAGATCCGACCAGATTGCCGGATGTTGAAGAAGATCCGAAGGCGTCTACGAGTCAGGACCCGCTGATTTCGAAGGATGACGAACAGCATAAGAAACCGGCCTTAGAAATCGTTTCTGAGAGGACGCAGAAATCGGCAGCGAAGCAACATGCCGAGAATAAAGGTAAGATGTCGGACGGGATTAAGGAGATACCTATACCTCCCGGACATTCGAATTGGCTGACGCCAACGTCGAAGAAGCAAGCGGATTCAACGGCCATCAGAGGTGAAACAGTGTCGACGGTGCAGGTGATCGACGAAGAAACAAGAATGAGCGCCGAATCCGGCTCCAGGTCTCAAACACCGGCTAGAAATATACCAGCGCCATGTACGTATTTACATTAATATTAATATTACACATAATATCATTTTATAATACGATAAATAAAATATTATGCAATATTAAAAGTAATAAACAACGTCATTATGTCATAATTAATTTAGCAATTTAACGACAGCATAAACATTTTTTTATTGTTTTAAATATTACATGTCATTTATTGTATAGAAATAAAGTACATTACAGAGTTATATTTTCAGTAATAATATATTTACGTAAGTAGAATTATATATTAAAATCATATAATTTTTATATTAATGATATAATTTTTTTAAAAGAATGCATCTCTCTAGAAAAAAATATTTTTATTTTAGTCATTGAAGAGTTTGGGTTGGTTGAATTGAATGTATTGGTACATATCCAAAACTTCAAGCTGGCTAAGAATAGATCTTTTCTTGTCGCATAAGATGTCTCTCAAGTAACTAAATACGAAATTGTAATGATGTGCTCAAATATGAGGCAGTGTACATCACTTTTTTTATTTGCAATATGTGTTGCAATTATGTTGTGTTTAGCAGCGTTAAAAACGCTTATATTAATTCGTATATCATCTATATAAATATATATACATTGTTTGTGTGTTGTATATATATTTATAAAAAGCATTTTTTTGAGTGTGTAAACATGTGTCAAGAAAAAATATTTAAAATAAAATACAACAAATATGGTAATTTATTGAAGTTATAATAAAGTACAAATCTTTTATTATATATCTATCAATATAATATTAATGATAGTAATGGTACACAAATGTATGAAAACAGGGCAATTAGCCAAGCGAGATATTTTTGCTCAATATTAACAATATATTTAACAAAGGTTATTTTAAACGTTTCAGCTTACATTAAGCTCGTAGAAATTATCATTATCATACAAAACTTACAAAGATAGATTAACGGTAGATAGATAGCGATTAAATATCTGTTAGTCAAAGTTGCTCGCGAATCGATGTTGTAATGATCAATCATGTAGGTAACTGAGGATAGCTTAATACAAGTTTAGAACAGTTTTTGTTAAATATATTATAAATATTGAGCAAAAATATCTCGATTGACTCATTACTCTTTATTGTTTGGATATTTTAAATTTTATTGCTATACTGACATTTTTATTTAGAGAAATGTGTAAGAAAAAACTGTTAAAAATTATGTATATATAAAATATTTTTTATTGATTCAGTTAATCTCTCTATGGGAACTCTCTTATATGAAAAGCGATAATCTGTTGGCTGCATTTTTCTACATAGAAATTAATTTGTTTACAGCTTCGGAAACAATAATAAATGAAGAATCGCAAGGTAGCGTTCTGAGCACTGCCACGACAGAATCTGAAAAAGTCAAAGTAAAGAACCGAAGGATGGAGATTAATTTTGATCCCGATGAAGGACCTTTCACTGTTGATAAGATAGCAGAATACGAATGGCCACTAGATCGAAAGGGTGAAACCTTTATGATACAAGAACAGATATCACAGTATCTTGGCGTGAAGTCTTTTAAACGTAAATATCCTGATCTCAAACGCAGAGTAGTTGATATGGAGGAGAGAAATTATTTGAGGGAGAATGGATTAGTCAGTGAAGCGATGTGCGATATGGGTAAGTCTATGATTTTTTTTATAAGAGATTCGTAGATAAGAGAAACAAAGATATTACGAAAGATATTACGTTATTACTATCTGTCTAAGGTTATAATAAAATTGAACAAATAATTTATACGTCTACACATATTTGAATAGAATTCACAATTTTTTTTATTTTTCATAACAAAATATCTTATTTTACTTACATTTTTCTTGAAAAATAAAAGTTAAAATAAAGGAGCAAAATAAAATTAAGAATTAAATTTTGCTTGTTTACTGCAAGTTTTATGTGTGTTAGTGTATTATTACATGACACATTTATATTATATTACACAGGATTAACTGCGATATGTAGTTCAGAAGTACTAGACGTCATGTGCAGTGATTTTCCCGATCAGTACGAAGAATATCGCAAGCATATGCGCGAGAAACAAGTTAAGGAACATTCCAAGAAGCAGAAGGAACTTACGGCGGCGGCGAATGCGGAGAGAAACAGGATAGATCTCGCGGAGATGGCGATGCAGTCCGCGTTTACGTGGAACGCTAACTTAAATAAAGCTCGCAAGGAGCAGCGCAAGTACTGCTTAGATCTGCAGACTTTCACGATTCATCAACCGCAGAAACAGCACAAAGGCGATTCGGAACACAAAATGGGTCATTATCCTGTTGCTCTGATACCAGGACAGTATACCGATTATTATCGGGAATATACACCGGCAGAATTGAGATATTATCCACTGAACACGGTCTTATATGGACCCACACGACCTAACGAGCGTAAAAGTGATAGTCAATCGGAAGGCTCTCAGAGCGATAGCGATAGCGAATCGTCTTCCGACGACTCAAGGTTGGTAGTGACGTTATAAAATATATAGTTTATTATTAAGATAAATATTATATAGTCTTCTATTATTAAGATTTAGAATAAATTATTTTATTTGCAGAACGATTTCGAAATAAGATACCAAAATTTGCAAGCGTATTTTTTGAGCAATATTAAAAATTTAGAATTTATTGTAACTATAATATTTTTTATAATAAATTAATATTTACATATAATCAGATAAATAAGTATAAAAATAATATGTATAATGACTGTGTTTGAACAGTTCATCCTCCAGCGAAGGTACACAAGATACAGAAGGATCTCAATCGACCATGGACGAAGTGGACATGGAAATCTCGAATTCAAAGGATGATACAAAGTTGAAATGCAAGATGTGCCTAAAAGTTCTAAATAAGCATAACAAGAACGAAATATTAATCCAATGTGGTACTTGCAACGGAAACGGTAAATATTAATTTTACATTGCGAATTAGATTGCACATAACTTTTTACGGAGCTAACCGAGGCGCTAACCGTTATTATTTCCAGTTCATCCATCCTGTATAGATTTAACGTTGGATATGGTGCCACACATTCAATCATACGCATGGCAATGCACCGATTGTAAGACATGTGTACAATGTCACGATCCTGCAGACGAAGACAAGATGCTCTTCTGTGATATGTGCGATCGCGGGTGAGTTGCAGATACTCGAGTACATATTACATTATAACTTTTACAATTAAAATTCAGAAACTATCGATACTTTAATATCTGTCTTGTTAAAGAAAAAAAAGACATTATACAACATAAAATATGAATTATAATTACGTGCTCGCGACACAGAGCTACAAATTAGCTATTATTTTTTGGAGTTTTTAGCTAATTAATAACTTGACGCCGCATGTTTAGGTACCATATCTATTGCGTTGGTTTGCGACGAGTACCACAGGGAAGATGGCATTGCCAGGAGTGCGCCGTATGCGCGAATTGCGGTTCGAGGGAAGCCGGCGGTGCTAATTCGGACCGAAACAGCGTTGCGCAATGGCAGCACGAATATAAAAAAGGCGAGAAAAATACTCGAGTATATGTCTCGACGCTCTGTGTACCATGTTCGAAGTAAGTGTGTATGTGTGTGCGTGTGTGTGTGTGCGTGTATAGTCTACCGTCAATTTTTTCGAAAGTACGCTGGGCTTCAATTGCTTGATAATCTTCATGGCTCACATCATAACACTTTTTCTTCTTTTTGTTACATCAAATCCATGCAAGATGTTCAGTAATAGATACACGTGGCAAATAGAATGATACTCTTTATCGAGATATAAAATAATTTTGTTTGTTTCTTAAATTTATCTGAATTCTGTGAGACTCGTAATTTTGGAGTTTTATAAATATCTTGGGGTAAGTATACCTCTTTACAGCCTTGAGTCAAAATTCTCTCAACTTAAATTACAGTTAAATGGAGAAAACTAACTAAAATTGGCTAAAAAATAGTTTTTTTTTTTTTCATTCCTTCCTAGAGTATAATGTAGAGTATAATAAACAAAGTAAAATTTGTCGAAATGCTATTTTGATGAATTATAAGTCAAGCACTATTTTCGACAGTTTTGTTAGAGAAAAATCTTTAAAAATTACGTGATAAGAAATATATTAGCACGTGACATTAGTGCCTTCTCCCTTTCTCCATTGTACCGAGCACTACCATAATACATAATATACCCTTACCTGAATTCACTAACCACATGGATCTTTATCGATAACAAGGCTGTGGCGAAAGGGTCGCTATTGCCCGCACTGCAGTCGCTGTCATACCGCCCAAAGGCTCGACCTGGATTCGAATCTAGTGCATTGCAGCGCATGTGACAAGTATCTGCACTTAGGTATTGACACCAAGTTTTCATACGATTCGGTTAGCTTAACATTTTGAGCGCCGAGCACATGCGTTTGCACATTAGTTTGTGCTCCTGATTTCGTGTGAGCAAAAATCATTACATTAGCCTATCGAAAATTTGTTAATCAATAAAATTAGTAAGCACATTAACTACATGAATTCTTTCATGTAGTATATTCTTTTATTAAATTATACTCCCAAAAATTTGTTTGATGTACTTAACAATTGCAAGAATATATTACGGATTACAAGGCTGAACTTTTAGCAGGCGCTCAAAATGTTAAGTCTATTGCATGTTGCGATATAGGAGCATTTGAGCATTTGCACGCGCCATCGAGTTTTGTTTCATCATCGCTGTTTTTAAAAGCCACGTTTAAATTATTTGCTATTTAGTGCGTACGTATGTACATTTGCATTTCTATCTTTTTACTTCCTCTGCCAAATAAGAATTACGAATTGTAGTGGATGCTATAGTGCAAAGGTGTTTAATTCAAAGTTGGATTCAACTCGACATATATGGTATATTTTTATTTATTGAAAAAAATATTTGTTTTGTTTTTATCAATATCTTTTTATTAACATTATTTATTTCTTGATGATATTTCTCACTTCGTGAAATAAAGAATCTTAAAGGTAAATGATCTGTTCAAGACAGAAATAATCTAGACACCTCTGTTCTTATGCATCTACTATCGCGAAACATTATATATATTCGCATAAAGCATATGTGTAGCCATTTGTAATTTTCTTTTTTCAGAGTGCGTGGAGACCAAGGGAGTAGTGGTTGACAAGAAAAATTATCGATGTGATTTCTGTGCACCGTCGACCAGCCAGCACGTGGTGAAGCCTTTAATGTCGAAGGTGCTCAAAACGTGAATACGATTATTGTAACATTGCCGCATGGGAAAAAAAGAAAGCGTGTATAATACCAATGCTAGTGTATATTATATTAGTATATTAAAGTAAATAAGTTTTTTATTGAGTGCGTTGAGTGAACAAATACGCGCAAGATTTTTCTTCTCGAGTACTTCATGACAAACGAATTACATTGTACATATATAGTTGTGAAATGAGTCATTTAATTTTTAATTATGAATTTTTAACGTAGTGTTTACTGCGAGATAGGCAATGTTTAGTAAGAAAAAGACTGAATGTGTTTAGTTTTTGATTACGAATATGTCAAAATTACAAAATATATACAGAGTGTCCGAGAAATCGCGCACTTTCCCTCGATCGTATATTCTTTGGCGAATTTGAAATTAAACCTGATATATCATCATAAGCTGAGTTAAATGTGCATTTTGTAACACTCATTTTGCATACAGTATTTTAAAAAATTCTTTTGTAAAATAGAATTTATTTAATGTAAACCGAAAGAGACAAAGCGTTATTACACGTTTAGATTTCACAAATTTAATTTGTAAAAATTACATGGACTTTACAAAAATATAAATGCAGCATAAAAATTTATTATATTTATTATTCTTCATGTAATCATGAAATTGAAAGCAAGCGATTTTCTAAACGTTCTGTATAAACAAAATTATTTATGTACGAATCTAAATTTATGTCTAAAGTTGTCTCAATTTTTTTATGTTTAATGTAATTGTAGTGAAAAAATAGCAAAAAAGAAATTTTACGTTAATCAAATGCAGATTTTAACATATATAATTTATTTTTAATAAATAATACATATGAATATATATTTATTATATATTGATAGTGTATATATTTATTTTTAATAAATTATATACATTATTAGTGGTTATAATTTTTTTCAAAATTTTAACCATAAATATTGCATTAAAAATCAAATTATATTTTTCCATCATTTATATTATCTTTACTTTACATCCAAGATATTATCATTATAAAGACTATTTTTCTCTTTGTTTTTGAAAATTGTGATGAAATACCATTGGGCAAATTTGTGCTCTTGCATTTTTTTTCCAAATTACCAACTTTGATATTTCCGAAGAGAAACAATCACATCAGTAAGCCATTAATGGGTTTTGTAAAATATTGTCTTTTCTGTCGATCGCTACATATATGTAGAACAGAAGGGAAAGAAATAAAACGTGAAACTAAAAAGAAAAAAAATAGCGATTTCTTAAAAATATATATCATTCTCTTTATTCTTCTTTTGCGACATAATCCTCGGATTAGTATTCTGTTGCGGGAGTTAGATGCGAATAGACATCCTTTTTTTCTGCATGTTCTTTACATACTTATCATTACATAGTATCCATATTTTGAACAGTGCGCTCGTTCTCTCCTTTTTTTTTTCGCTGTCAAAAATCAGTTACAATACATTTGTATAAGACCGTGTTAGATTACGTTGCATTATGTACACATACAGAATAACGATAGTAATTGCGACTGTTTAAAAAATGAGCAAGTTGCAAAATATAAACTTTGGCATATCGTTGCATATCAACCTCGTATATATATATATATATAATATTTGCGTCAGAATAAATCTTAGTAAAGTTCGTATTGCAATGCAATCTGTACAAGATACTTCTAAGCGGTGCGTACGCGCGAAGAATGCGGAGCCGCTGCGTAGCGTCCTACCGAGTGTTCGCCGACTTCCCAATGTCTTCCTCCGGTTTTCTTTAAAACTGCGATATCATTTCCGTGACGGAAACGAATCAATCGGCAATACAATTATGTTAGCGATGTACCGGCAGCATTAGTGACAGCGAAGAACATCGTTGTGAAAAAGAATATATGTATGTATATACGTTTCACATGTGCTCTGCGTTCCAGTCGTATTAAATCGTATCGGAGACACCCACACAGGGTGGTGACCCATGATTTTCTTCCTCGCGACAACAAACGTCCCTCTCCTTCCGTTCGCTTAAAATTCGAATAAATGTCGAGTGCTAGTTTTTTTTTTTTTTTTTAATGTCGTTTTTAGAGAAACATCACACACGTTAATAAACATTCCGCACATGATTACAACATCATAAAGTAAACGTGTACTTTGAGCAAAAGAAAAACGAAATATCATATAGCGTAATCAGCAGTACAAGTCGTACGAGTATTATTATTACCTAATGTGTGTAATCGCTTGTTGTTAAAGAGCACTTATGCGCTAAACGGGGGGGACGGGCTTACAGCTCAGAATTGCACTTGACCCGTCATTGACTAGTAGACTCGGTATACAAGATAATATAGTGTCCGTCGTTTCTTCCCAGCTGCATTTTCGTTACTATTTTTATACCCGAAAAGGAAACGGGATGTATCTTCGAGGGATTCTCGGAGAATAGCCGGGTCTGCGGAGATTGCATAAAAGTGCAGCTACAAGAGACAGCGGAACTACATCGTCAGTAAATGTCGAGCGAACAGCCGTGTCTCTCGCGTGTGAAACGCGAGAAGTACTCAAATACGCCCACCGACCATCAGTGAAGCAAAATAACATCGAGAATTATTTGCACACGTAGGAAAACTCAATCAGCTGATGCAACGCCGCTTCACCGTCTTCCTTCGAGCAGCGTTGGATTCATAACGGCCGAAAAAATTAAAGTGACGGCTGCAAAAAGACACATAAAACAAAATTGCTGTTTTAGAAAAAAAAATATACACAGAGATTCACTGAATTTTGATTGTAATTCACGATCAGCAAAATTATAATTGCCTCCGTGCTTGAGTATTCTATGAAATGAAGCGAAAAGTTTTAGACGCATTTTTGCTTTTTTTTCTAGTGTCTCTCTCTTTTCCTCTCAATCACTTACGTGTTGTTTTTCCAAACATCAATTTTTTTTATCCTAAATGTGCGCTCCAATTCCGATGAATAATTGACTGTGTAAAAAATCATTTTGAGTATTTACTCGTGCCTAATACCGTATATAGATAACAAAGTACTGAAATTGTGTAAGTGAGTAGCTGGTATAATAGTGATCACTAAATTCTGCGTAGAAAACTTCGATAGGACGTTGTGAAGGAAGTTTGGGCCCGGAAAGCTGCCGACTTTATAAAATATTCGCAAGTTACACGTTGGATTTGCGCTTTGCGAGCCTTTCCTGAGTTTACATAATAGATAATCGAAAGCTTCCGATAATTCGTTTGCATTTAGCTCTGTGGATGGCAAACTCGCCTCTGTGGTCAAATTACCAGTTGAATTGGATGAACCTGTTCACAAAATTATAATATCAAAATATCTTAGAAAAATTTTTGATAATTATTTTTAAATATGCACATGAATAGATTTCCAAATGTAAAAAATTAATAACTAATATTAATTAATTCAGATTTATTATTCTACTATTACAGTTATTACTGTTATCAAGATCTTATATATATATTTTTTAAATTCTTATTTTAATAAAATATGTATTTTAGTATTTTATGTATTTACAAAAGGAGATATGTTACATTTATGAAAAGAAGTTTAAAAGATGTGTTACAGATAAACGATTCATCAAGAAAAACTTACCGGTAGACATGTAACATACAATCGCTGAAACATTATTTTCATAATTCCATCTACGCCTGAGGGCTATCCTAAAATTAGCCACACATTTTCCTGTTTCCTCATCTGTAATAAATAATAAGACATATATAATAATTATCCATACATCACTAGCGTTTGAGTTAATGAGCAGAAAAGTATAATTGCTGCAAGTTGTACTATTAAAAAAAATGAAAAATGAAAAAAAAAATTGATTTCTCTATTGAATTTGCAGCAAATCATACCTTCTTCTTGTTAGATAAGCTTTAAATACTCACACTCGAATCGGTTATTATCCCTATGAGCCCAAACACACCACTCAACTTGAGCACCACGCGGCAAATTTGGTACAACAATGTAATCTACAATAGCATTTCTCGTCCTCCTTTCCCATTCTTTCCTCGCATCCGCTATGTAACTAGAATGAGTCAGGAAACAGATACCTTGTACTATATCTCGAAGTTTTGCATCCATAGCTTTAACGATGCGGTCTATGTGCCTCAACGTTAAACGGCACTGCCGTTTAATGTTCATATCTAGAAGATTCATATTGCCAGGCACCAAAGGTATTTGCCCAGCAACTAAAATAACATCACCTACCTGTGTAAAAAAAAAGTACATTCTTTTTATGAAATATTTTCTATAAAAGATTGTCTTAAATTTTTTAATGTAAAAGATAAAAAGATTAAATAAAGAGGATTAAATAGTAAAGCTGTAATATTTTAAAATATAGATTTTCTGAAAAATATTTAATAAAAAAGTGATCAATTATAAAATATTATCTTATAAAAATATGTTTATCATATTAATTGCACTTACACGAACAGCTTGCGAGTAAGGGCCAATATTGGCGGGTGCCCAATGGCTTATACTTTGAACGTGCATCGTGTGTCGCTTACAGGCCCATTTATCGCCACTCTCTTGGCTCTCCTTATATGCTATCGCGTCAAGTGTGACATGTACGTTCAAAGGGCATTCTACGCATACTCGAACCGGTGGATTTCTCTTACCCAACCAGGAAACGTATGCTTCATTTATAGCCTTGTAATTTGACATATCTTTTATGTACAACGTTACCGCGACTATGTCAGATGGGCATAAATTTTCGTTTTGAATGAGAGCTATAATTAGACGAATATCATATCGTTAATAAAAAGTTCAATTGTATTGTTCTTTCGTATTATCAATTAAAATTTCGAATAAGGAATAATTGTTAATATTGAATAATTACTAAGCCGAAAAGTATGCGATTAAGATGTGAATTTTACTGCTTAGTTTTTCCAGTGCCTCTTCCACGGCGGGTGTTACGTCCGGATGTTTCCCTACAACACCTCCGAACCAGAACCATCCCGTTTGATTTCTATTAACGACCGGTGCGTCTGGGCAATCTTCCTCTTCGTACAGAATCTCCATTGGGCTTGGAGGATGAAATTGATCTGTATATTTGCACAGATATAATATTTTTATATACTTTATATATTTTTTCTGCGTATTCTTTCTTTTCTAGAGTTTTCTGAAATTTCCTACCTGAGTTCGATGCCTTCAAACTATTGCTTTCACATGCATGCTCGTCATTTTCATCTTCTGATAAATTGCAACCATCATGCAGCTCAGGACCAATGATTTCAGCAATGTAATCCTGTGGCGATTTTATCAAAACATTTTTTAGTCTCTCGGATAGACTTAACTTCTCCAATTCTCCATTCTAAAAAATAAGTCTTCACTTTGATGACACTTAACAGTGTCTTACAATTATCAATGTGATATCCAAAAACTTACGTCCTTGTCTTGTAAATGGATCTTCGTAAATCTGAGATATCCTACAGGAGCTACATCGTCCCTCGAATTTACAACGCTCTCATACTCATCGCTAAAAAAAAATAAAAAAAGAAATTAAGTACTCAGTAACTCAGATTGTACATTAATGCAAACATGTAACACTTACATTACGATACTTTTAGCAAACAAGGGGCAATCTAAGGTAAAAGTTTCGTATTCTCCTCCCTCCCCACATATGTTTACTCCATATTTTTCTTTCTGTAAATAAAATTTATAAACTATCAAACATAAATAAAGCTATCTCCTAGCTCAAAATAAATAAAGCCATTCAGCTCTCTTTGTTTCATTATATATCCATATATATAACAATCAAGATGTGTTTTATTAAACATAATTACATAAATAACAAGTATTTATGTAATTATCAAATGATAGTGTATATCAAATGATATATCCATATATATCACAACCAAAATGTGTTTTATTAGACACAATTACGTAAGTACTAACAAGTATTTATGTAATTATATCAAATGAATGGAGATAAAATTAAATCATTAAAAACATTGCCCCATAATTGGTTAAACAAGAAACAATATGACTTACTATTTTTACAAGATGAGGTTGCATTTCACATATAGATTTGCCCAAATGTTTGATTTCAAGGCCTAAAGCCGCAACTTTAATCAATATTGGGTTAACAGAACTCTGTATCATTTCATTTAACAACTCATCCTGATCCCGTCTCCATAAATACGACAAGGAAATAAGACCTAAACGATTGCACCTAAAAGAAGAATATTCGAAAAAAATTAATAGCAATAACTAACAATGTTACAAATTCAAACAGGAGAAATAAATAAATTATAGTGAATAATTACACATTTTCCACACGAATTCGTTGATAATCACTAAGAATAGCACCACTTGACACAGCCTCTATATCTTCACGTTCCTGAAAAAAAATATATATAAATGTATTAGAATTATTGAATTACATATAAACATTCAGACAGAAGATACTGAAATTAATTTACCTTTACTGTACTCAAAAGCTTAAAAAGATCTTCGACTTCATCATTTTCCGTAGGATAATAATATTTCTCTTGCACATTGGCCTTGCCAAATGTTGGATAACGGTATATAGGCAAGCCTATAGCTTGAGCAATGTATTTAACACCTTGGTGTCCTACCGTTTGGAACATAAACGAATCCAGATCATCTGGAAGCAGTGCGTTAACCCCTATGTTACATCTGCATAAATTACAAATTATAATATTTATAACGTAAAAATTAAATAAACATGTAAATTACACTTATTACGCTCATAAGTTACATACAGTTAGAGCTCTATTTGTAGAAAATCCATTATTGGGCAATACATAATTGATTTACACGGTATATATAATTTGTCTCAATACCTTTTTCAACAGGATATAAATTAGCTAAAGCCACAATCTCGTGACCAGCTGCTACACACTGCATCATATTGAAGCAAGAATCTTTGCCACCACTGATCAACGCAACGACCTTCATTTTTTTTTTCTTTCGTTGATCGGGTCTCTTCCTTAAGAAACAGTTACGACTAAAATTAGAGCTGCTTTATTTGTTTAGACAATCATCTGCAATAAAAATAAAAAAGAGGGGTACATATAGTTTTTATATTTGTGCATTTTAAGAACTACAAAAATTTCGAAAAAACATAGAACGCAATTAAATTCAACAATACGAATGCTATACAAAAGCACATCTATATATCTACACATTCTAGATTGCATATAGAAAATAACCCAAAAAAATCAAAATCAGAATTCACATTTCTAATCTATTATAGGTATTCTTCGTGTACAAAATTATTTTTTTACACGCTAATTTGATAAAAATATATTAAACAATATGATAAAAATAGAATCTATAATATTAAATGCATGGTATATATACTCCGTGCGGTGCATATATCGTATTTACAATTTATGTAATCACGTGGGACGGATTACATACGGCAAGACTTTACAACAATAATAATAAGATATTTTCGCAATAAACAATTGAAAAATTATTTATTAGGGGCATTGGAGCACGCGCGATGAGACATAGAAGCTGTCGCGCATCGGCGAAGCTTGTGAATGGAGCCGCCGACGTAAACAGTACAAAATACAAGTGTCGAAGAGACGGGATGCGAATTATTTATTAATATATATAACAGTCAGCTAACAGAGCGACCGAGGATTTTTATCGCGGACGGCACGGGCCGCGGCGAATATCGACGAATCCCCGTATCTTCGATCGACATACCGGATGTTAGATTGGTAAACGATCGCGAGGGGTATCGCGATAAAGCACGGATTTATCGCGCGAGAGCGAGAAACCGTGCTTGTGCCCCGCAGGACGGGGCTTTTTGGTTATCGCGGAAATGGATACGCGCGAGGCGAGGGCGAACGGCGAGGTGACAGCGAGCGGCGAGCCGCGTGGACGAGCGCGAGCTCGACGATCCCGGCGGAACACGCGACGGAATCGGCTCGGAGTCCTCCGGTAAATGTGATATTTACGTTAAATCGGTGGCGAAAATCTCTCACACGGTACAGTCGGCAGCCCATGGGAGACTGTGGATGGACGACGGGGGACGACAGGAGTGGAGTGTGACAACCGCCGTCACCGCCGACGGTAGCGACGACAGCGCCGCGGCGAGACGGCGTTCGATTCAAGAGCGTCGAGGTGATTGAGGTTATCCCGGATATTGCAAAATTATACCGATTAAATGGACAAAGGGCGTCGCGATTAACCCGACGTTTCCTCGCGAGCGACGGGACGACGTCGTTTCGCGCATTGGAGACGTCGCGTTTGCTCGGGATACGAAAATATACCGACGAAAGTGATCACGGCGCCGAGAGACTCGCGGGTGAGCAGTCGCGCGACCGTACTTGTCGCGTGACATCATCGATGGCGTCGGACCAATCAGAGGCGTCGCTATGCCACGATTGTTCCATCCGTGATTTCGTGTATATATAAATATGATTTGTGTATGTATGTATAATGCTGAATTTTGTTATTTTATCGTATTTTAACATATTGAAAAAAAAATTTTGCTGTTGATGCAAAATAATTGTGTTTACTAAAAGTCTTATTTTTTTATTTCGTTGTTCAGAAATAAAAAGTATTATATATATATGTATATATATATATATATATATATATATATATATATATATTACATATAAATGTATAAATCGAAATAAATAAATTATAAATTTAGATACTTAAGCACAGAGAGTTTAAAAAGAATTTATTGCAGTAGTATTATATATGTCATCAATTCTGAGTTAATTTTGAGATGCAAAATTGAAGAATTTTCTTTTTCAAAATTTCTAGAAGAATTTTTGTTCTGAAAATTAATTCAGCTAATTCAAAAAGAAAAATAACAAGATTTTTTTTTCCTTCATATATTTTATTTCAAAAAAATTTTTTTAGGAACTTAAAACATCTAACATGTAACATTAAAATATTTAAAGTTTTATTATTACAATAATTTACTCTACATTCGATATAATATATACTTATACTGTTAACGTACGATATTATTGGTTTCATTTCAATCCAACTGTAATTACAACAAAATTTTAAATAATAATAAATTTTTAAGATATGAACTAAACAATACGATCGAATTAACAAAACATTCGTTTGCTCGTTCAATTCGTTCTCAAAAACATAAAATTCGGATCGTAACGTGTAAATCGTGTAAGTTATGCCATCTTTCAAATTTCAATGGCGATGCCCGCGCTTGCCATTCGCTCGCCCGCTCGATGTATTCGATGACGAGGTAACATCTGAAAATCGCGGACCAGTCTCGTATTCGCGTGCCCACGGCGTTGTTCGAGATACGAATATTGGAGCCTCGCTGCTGCTCCGATTTCGGACTTTTGAGCGGAGGTGAGAGAATTTCGCACGGTGGCAAGGGTGAACGGCGGCTTCCTTCGGGGGGTCGCTTCCTCCGGCGAGATCGCTCGTCGCGAATCGTTAGTCTCGTTACCACGCGAAAGAGTTGACCGTGCCATTTCTCTCTCTACCAAGCGCGACGCCGCCGGCCAATGAGGTCGCGCGTGGTGGCCGGCCATTTTACTTTCGCTACGATCGCGCGAGGCGGCAGCTGAAGGATCTCGGTCGGGTCTCGCCATACCGTCATGCAGTTTCGAGGAGGATCGTAAGCGGGAGCAGTTGGGTTCTAGTCTGGCTCTAGTCCGAGGACTTCGCCGCATCCCGCGTCCTGCCTGCAGCGGCACCGGCGTATCCGCGCGACTCGGCGCACCGCGATCCCCGTCCGACGAGCAAACGTCCGCCGCGATGGTCCTGGCGGAGAGAAATTCGGAAAACGTGCGTAACGGCCGCCGATCGCGAGGCCCCAGCCCCAACGCACAGACCGAGTCGTCCAGCGAGGAGGAAGGAGGTATCGTCGATTCTCATCTCTCGCCGTCGACAGGCGACGTCTCGACTGCCGATTATCGTGACGTTTGTCTCACGTGAAATATATTTAAGGGATCACTCGGGGCTTTTTGAGTCAAGAAATAGAGGATGTACACGGTTTCGTATTTGAAACACGTGAAAATCCAAGAGTTCTTCAAATTGTACGCTCCTTGCTGTTCAAATGTTTTTATGAAATCGCGAACTTTGATCTCTCATTTAAGTGTTTTCTCTAAACAAGTATTTCCATGAGCTCTACTCTTATAGTATCGCAATAATAATTGTACCAAAATGATGTTAATTTTTTAATACATATGGAAATATCAATGGAAAATTTATCTAGTTAATTGAAATTAATAAATGTAGAGTTGCATTATTAAAGCTCTTTAAGTCATCATTGTTCATTAAAATAAATGCATTATATGCATACCTGTAACCAACATATCTCTTTTTACTTTTTAAATGTTATACAAGTTGGAATATTAAAAATTTTCTTTTAAAGTTCCAGCGGAGAAAATAAGAGTTGGTCGAGATTATCAAGTCGTCGTTCCAGAATTTGTTCCTGTTAATGGTATTTTACAATCTTTATAGTTTTAAAATTATTGATTTAAGTAGCGATTTATTCTCAACCTGCTTATTTATCATGTGTTTCAGAACGTCGCTTGGATCAGTGTCCTGATAGGGCATTGTTAGTTTGGTCACCTACCACTGATATACCAGATCAAAAATGTAAGCTGCAATTTTATGTCAACCAATCAATTTGTACCAACAATTTTTTATCAACAATTATGTTATCTCGACTTATGTATCTTGCCTTTTCCAGTGGACGAGTACATTATATTAGCTAAAGAGAAGTACGGTTACAATGGAGAACAGGCGTTGGGAATGCTGTTTTGGCATAAGCACAATTTGGAGCGTGCAGTTCTGGATTTGGCGAATTTTACACCATTTCCCGACGAGTGGACGGTCGAAGATAAAGTATTGTTTGAGCAAGCGTTCCAATTTCATGGCAAGAGTTTCCATCGCATCCGGCAAATGGTACGTCATGATATTTAGGTTATGATACTCAGGTTAAATCATTCGATTTTTATTTGTCTATTCTACAAAAAATTAAAATTGTGAAATGCATTAACACAATAAACTAATTGTGTTTATTTTCGAAATTACAGGATCCTGATAACCTTGTGATACGTTAAAAAAAATATAAAGATTTTGAAAATATAATTCATACATTATTCAAGTTAAAGGAAATTTATAAAAGTAATTTAAAAAATATTTTAATACAGAATGAAACAAGAAATTGTTTGTCTTTATCTTGAAAAAATCCGAGAGAATTAAAGATATAATGATTGACGAATATTCATAATTAGAATTATTTTTTATCGATAAAATTGCATATAATAGTTATAATTTGCAAAAATTGGTGTCAAAAATTCATGTTATGCATTGCTAATGTAACATCAGAGATGCTTTGAAGACGTGTACATCAAGTTTCAAGTTTTATATATATTTGTAGAAAAATTTTTCAAAAATTTGAAAAATTAAATTTATTATGCAATAAAGAAGAGAGGGAGAGAGAAGATATTATAAAAAGAAGAACATGTCAAATATTAAGATTGACTTATTCTCAATAATTTTTGCACAGCTGCCTGATAAATCTATTGCGAGTCTGGTGAAATACTACTACAGCTGGAAGAAGACGCGAACTAGAACGTCACTCATGGACAGGCAAGCGCGTAAATTAACGAGTGGCTGTAAAGAAGGCGAGAATGGCAGTGAAAATGGAAGTGAGCTTGGCTCCAACACTGATAGCGAATCCGAAGAAAAAGTAAGGATTCTTTGAACATAATTTCAACAATAATTTTTCTGTGCATGCGCTCTGTTCTAACATAAAGAAGTATCCTTTTTGTTTATTTTTTTCTTTTCTGCCATTTTAACATAAATCTAAAGGCGTGAAATCTAAAACAGAATAATTAATTTTACACATAATAATTACAGTAAAAAACGACTCTCTTTGTTCTTTTGATATAGTTCTTCATAATATATTAATACTACCCTTCTTCCCCTCTAGAATAGAGATATTTCTTGATGTATAAGCTTACTGATCTGGCTATTTTACTTGATTACCTTGCAAAGAGATATGCTATTATGGCACAAATTGTAATATGAAGAATTATATAACTATTTGGAAACTTGCTATCTACATTACAAAAATGTATCCACACGATAACATATTATATGTAATGAAAGTAGGAAAACGGAAATATCTTGCTATAATGGTGACAAAAAGTTGGTAGATCATTGCCATAGATATCTTATACATGTATAGGGTAAAATTTATAAGTGACAAGTTCCAAAATTTCATCAACACATTGAGATTCTATTCAATCTATTTCGCACATAAAAAAAAACAGTACTTTAGTTGGACGTTACGTCCGTATGTGAACGTAAATGTGGAACGTTCCAGAAATGGACGATCCACCGCGGAATACGTCGTGGAAAGAACCAAGCTGTGCCAGGAAGCCAAGGCACTGACGCTAAGGCCCCATCCGACTCGGAAAACGCCCCTCAGGTTCAGGTACTCAGCCTAAACCTTACCCACTCGCATATATAGTATAGTTAGCTTAGCTTTACTACTGTGTTTTGCTATTCTTCAATGTATCACGTGTATTATTGCTACACTGGCATATATGTATATGTTCTCTCCTCTCGTCAAAATTCCTAATATTGAAATTCCTCATCTTATTTAAGCTCCTCTTATCTAAATTGATAGGCTAAAATCTTACTGGGGAAACAAAGCAGAAACATTTGAATTATGGAATATTTAGCTTATTGTTTCGATTAATATCATCTTCAACAGTTGAGCAAAATATAAAAAAAATACGACTTGATATCATTGAGAACGAGACACGAATTATTTTAATGATTTCTCTTTTAATTTGTTCTTAATATTCAAAGACGATAGACGATGAGTTACAAAGTGGGAATGGGTGGGAGGGTTATCAAAATTTTTATTTTAAAAGGGTATTATGTGTTGTAGGGCTCGTGTAGCAACTGTGGCGTTGCGTGCCATAGTGTTCGTGCGACGCCCAAGGGACACGCGTGTCATAGCTGCTATCTACATTGGAGGTCAGTGAACGTAAATTAAATGCCAATGCCATTTGCAAAGATCTTATTCTACACAATACAATAAACGCTAGAGAGGATATTCATATGAGAAATAAGTTAGAACCGTTTGAAACTGAATTGACGATTTTTTGTCTTTAACGCAATAATGCTAATTTAGAATATCTCTTTTTGCAAATAAACGTATACATTTGTTCATATTTAAGCAATTAAAACTTATGAATATCCTTGAAAACTCCCTTCTCCCGCAGATTATTTTAAACCATATCCCCATTAATGATATTTAGCTAATTTTACATTGAAATGCAGTATAGATTAGCATATCCTTAAAAATCCTCATATCCTTAAAATCATTCTACGTTTTCTGATGGTTTAGGCGCACCGGTGTAGCAAGACCGTTAACTTCCATGCCGGGTCGTACGAATAAAAGAAAACCACCCCGGGGCTTGGTTGTGAATCACGATGATTTGGCGGCGTTGGCTGGTCAACCAAATCAGGCCAACAACAGTTTGCAAGCTATCGACACTGAGATCGTTAGCCTAAAACGTCAAGTATGTTAACAAGTATAAAAGAAAAGTCTGCCATACAATGTGTGATATATATATATATACGTGTGGATACATTTTTTCTTCATTTTTTTATATCGTTATAGTGAATCATGTAAGCATATGCAAACGCTTGCATTTAAAACTGTTAATAATTGAAGTATGTTAAACTGGAGTTTAAAAAAGATATTATATAAAAACAGTAGAATAAAAATTTTGAATGCTAGGATTACGCTACAGTACTTTCATGATTAATGCATTTTATCTCTTTAATTAAAATATAATTAATTACGCTTTACAAAATTGTACGTTTAGTAACTTTTTATGTAATATAATATAATTTATTCGATATCGCACAGATACAAGCTAATAAACAACAAGTGAGCGCTCTGAAACGAAAGACAACCGATGGCATCGATCATCTACGACCGCCGGAAGTGTCAAGCCGTATAAACGCTCGCTGGACAAATGACGAACTGCTATTAGCCGTTCAAGGCATTAGAAAATACGGAAAGGATTTCGCCGCAATCGCTGAAGTTATTGGAACCAAAACTGAAGCCCATTTACGATCATTTTTTGTAAACTATCGACGAAGATATAATTTGGATGCAGTTCTAAAGGAATTTGAGGCTGAAAATGGTCCCATTCTTATCGATGACGAAAAAGAAGAAAAGGTATAAAAAACGATATATATCGATGTAGTACAAATTACGTCGTTAAATATTTTTGTCACATAATATTATAAAAAGTGCATTAAGTATGTTATTTTGATCACTATAAAATCAATTTTCTCTCAATAAAAAATATAAGAAGATTAAAAGAAAAATACTAAGAAAAAATTGAACTCTAAGCAAAATAATAGTTTAATTTTGAACTTTTAAATAATTTATTTAAATTATATTTCTTTATATTCTATACCTTAATCATCTATTTAAATTAAACGTTATTAAATTAAGCTAACAATTTAATGTAATTTTTTAGATGGACGTTGATCAATCAAATGATACTGCAGAATCGTCTCAGAAAGGGAAAACTTCCACTGGACCCGGACAAGCTGCTAAATAACAAATGAGTATAATCTCAAATACAAAACGAGAAAAGAATAATTGCAGGCTCAGTGATAGTAGCCGATAATAGCGTTGATTTATTGAATTTAATCATTTGAATTTCACTTTTTCAAATTTTATTTCATCTCACTCAAGAGCGATATGTGGAACACAGAAATTTACTTTTTTTGAAGATCCAAACTTAGCTGCATGATGAATAGCATCAGGATCATCTAAATGATGTTTGTGTTACGATAATGCATTTATTATAATCTGATACTCTGATGAGGCAGTTTTATCGTCTGTACCGAAGGCTGGATTTTAATCATCTATATTTGAAAGATAGTTATGTATCATACATTATGTATTATACATTATATTGAAAATGTGTATCATACATGTGTGTATCATACATTATGTTAAAACATTAAAATTCTTACTGAGAGCGCGTATTTGCAAAAAGAAAAAAACAAACACGCATCACACGTATGATATACCGCAAAACGCTTATCACACTATATATTGTATATAGCATCAAAATGCAAGTTATATTTAGAAGTAAACTTCAAATATTATTTTCATATATATTAACGAAAATTTATTTTTCTCGTTTATATATTACTTAAACTATAATGTGGATTTGAATTAATGTGTAAAACAATTCCGTACGAATCTTATAGAAAATAGATTTCGGTCAATTTACTTCAAATTTTGTAGCTCATGTCAAACTGATTAAGAGTCACGGGCACAAAGCTCCAAATGCCTTGGTTTTTGCTTGAGAACCTTTGGAAGGTCTTTAAACGGAAATGTGCAGAAAAATGTGATCATATCTAATGAATTTTTTTTTCTCATCTTTGATTCAAGTAATTCTCGATTAAGATTTAATACATTATACATAATAAGCGAGGGAACTCGCAGAAATGAAGCACTCCGTACGTGAGAAGTAACGGGACTCAGGGAAATCAATTTCGACTTTTCTGTACTTTTCTATATAAGATATAAAGATCTTCCGAAGGTGGAGCAAAAATTAAGGGCATTTAGAGCTTTGTATCCGTAAAGATTTTTAATATGTTCGTTGACAAGCGCGTAATGGATCTATGCGTTTAGTTAAAGCGGGCAAGCTATTCGGGCTTTGAATATGAAACTGTACAAAAAAATAATTTTTGTAACATTGGCTTCCAGAGGTGGTGTATCTTTTCAAAAGCGCAGCGAACGTGTTAATCAGTTTGACGTAAACTGCAAAATCCCAACATTTGAAGTAAATTGAGGGAAAATCATTTTCCGTAAAATTTGTGCATGATTGTTTGTAACAATGTTAAATTATAAAAATGATCTCATTTGAAAAGACAGTGAGAGAGAAAGAAGTATTTAAAAGTAGAAGTATTATAATAAATTATCAGAGAAATCATAGAGACGTTACGTTAAAAGAATTTTATGGACTAAAAATTGTATTAAAGCGCTCTGACGAATTATGAGGAATGGTTTAATGTTCAAATGTCTACGTTCTCATTTTTATTATTATTCACTCTGCAGTGAGAGGTTTTGCGGTGAAAATTACTACATTTTGTATTAATTTCACTATTATGCATACTTAATAAGCTCTCGTAATAATTTTGGATACTTTCAACATTTTTTTCTCTTCTTTTTGTTCTATAATAGTCGTCTATAATTATAGCTTTTAGTCCCACCAAGTCTGCTAGTAGTGACAACAAATGTAGGCAATGACTTTGAATAATTTTTCTTTGATTAATTTCTGCATAATTAAAATACTGTGAGAATAAGTGTTCTATACAATATAAGGATGTCAGGCACTTCAATATTATTTCTCGTTTATACGTGGATTACAAATTTGATATAGTTTGCACTAATCTGTACACTTGAAAGAGCTCGATTGCGTATAATAATAATGCCATAATATAACAATCTTTCACATTATGATGAGCAATAGCCAAAAAAATATGACACATAATGGTCATCCTTGTTGGAACGATAGAACAATATTTAATTTCTTAGATTACCATCTTGCTTATCTTGCAAAACGATGCTTTTTTTCTTATCAACCAAGTAAACATTTACCAATTATTTTAATTTATTGATTTAATTTGGTCCCGAAGTAAGTTGCAATTTATCTCAGTCAGTTACTTCAAAGTTCCAATTACCTAATCTCTAATAAATTTAAATCGTACATACATGAGATGAGGATCGGAATTGAACCGAAGACCCATTGCTTTCGAGATCGTCAATCGTTTTCTCACGAAACCACGTGTCATCCCGTGGAAATTATTTTACATTTAATAAAACATCGAATAAAATATCATCTATCATGTAATGGATTGTAATTAAATATTATAATCCATTATAAAATTATGCAAGATTATATTAAATATATCTATCACAATTTATTAAGATGCGTACACTTGGTGTTAAAATCGTGATGAAAAAAAAATCTTCCAAACGAGGAAAGGAATATCATGATGTTCTTATAAAACGTGTCGTAATGCTCTTACAAACTGATAATGGCGAATTGTCATCATAAAAGATGTATGGCATTTATTACCATAGTGGCTACAATGTACATAGCGAAATAATCAAGAAGAATCAGCTTCTAAATAAGGGAAAGAGATACGTTATCTTTACGAAACGATAATGCACGCCTTCGTGTCAACATCAGATTACCGTACAAAATCTGAGCTTCATTTCACAAGTCTATCAATAAGAATAATTTAGATTAGACTAATAATTTAAATAGTAATATATAGAGCGCACATTTTACTGAACCTTATCAAATAGCCATTAAGAGGTGATGTTTTCGTGTATAATATGAAGTACGTATACTTTGGTCTATAATATAGACTATAGACCAAAACCATTTTATAACGTCTTTTGTTCAGCGTGACAGCGATAGCTCTCAGATTATCCAAAGATTTTTTCTTTGCTGTCTCTATACTGAGTTTCTTCGCACATTACTTTTTGCATCTGGCACTTTATTCTTCATCTCATTACTTCCATCCTCAGACTCGAAATCACTTCTGCTTTCACTCCGTGTATCGCTTTCGAATAATTCTTTCGTTTCTGATTCAGAAAGAAAGAATCCAAGACCGAGACTCTTTGAACACGGTTTTTCAGAATGTCCGATTTGTTTGAAATTAATTACGATTCGATTATTTTAGAGCCGGTTGGATAAATTCCTTTGTATAAACTATATGATAATTTATTCATTAGATGTAGCGATCGTGACGTAGAGAATTGTACGCCTTCTTTCTGTGCCGAAGGCACAGGGTTCAAATCTTGCCATGAGAACCCCTCTAATTAGTTAAGGCCATTCGGAACCGACGTTAAACTATAGGGCTCGTATATCTGCGTAAATTGTAAATAGCGCACACCACAGAAATACGATGAAAAGTCACCACGCTCTGACCAGAGTAGAAAGAGAATTCATTAGAATTCATGAAATTTATTATTATTTTTGTGGAGCGCGAGCATAACAGACAGCGCACACTGATCTGTTATGCCAGAGATCTCGGGTTTGATTTCTAGTAGAACCAAATTTTCATACGCTCACGTTTCCTCTCCGGAGGTCTGGCAAACCACCGAGAGTATCTTTAATTGCCGCGGAGACCGCGTTCAAAAACTGCCGTTCGAAATCGGCTTTAAACTGTAGGTCCATATGCCTGTGTATGTACAGTCGTAGACGCATCGGTTGCGACACTTTTTTTTATAGGTTTCTAATATATATTTAATATACATAATATATTAATATATATTTAATATACATAATATATTAATATATATTTTATAGATAATTAATATTTTGCAAATGCGAACCACGATGTACTATCTTTAGAGACAGTATAACAATCATACTCCGCATTTGCAAAATATTAGTGAGTTTTAAAACTTATAAAAAAGAAAGTGTCGCAACCGATGGGTCCATGACTGTACATGCAATCAGCGTGCACACCACAGAAGATGTGAAGAGAATTGTAGGCTTTGCTTCCATGTGAATTGCAATGCCGCGAAAGAAGAAATTATTTAATGAGTAAATTATCACATAATTCATACGAACATATGGAACAACCGGCTTTAAAAGAAATAAAAGACAAGAAGAAAAAGAACTATAGATAGAAAAAACCTAAACCAGATATTGTACATTTTTGCATCCTAGCTCTGTCCTGCTTTTGTTTTATTATTAAGAATTTTCCTTTTATTTTCAATCTCTGTATTCGTTGTTTTTCTTTTAGTTTCTCCTTTTTGCACTCTCGTTCAAGTTGCAATTGTTCTAATTTTGCCTGGCAATAACAATTAGTAACTGAAATAACTTTTTTCCTTTAGTTTAGGTTCTTTCTTATACCTTTCTTTTTCTTCTTCGTACCATCTTTAAGCCGAGCAGCGTCACCATCAGTTTTTCTTTTTACATGTTTTTTTTTGTTTCTTTTGATACGTTTTATCATCATAGTCTCGTTTTGTATTTTCTTATCCTACGAAGAAATATTGAAATATAATCCTTAAAGTATTCCTTTAATCTCTAAAGTATATCGAATTGTTTGCGTTACATTCACATTTTGTACCTATTTTGATATCAAATAAGATACAAAATAAGAAAAATCTCACTTGTCATCATATGAGACTAAAATTTTGCTATGATGTAAAACAACATTTGTCAACGGACAATTAAGTAACAAAATACCTCTGCTATTACACAAAGATTGTATAGCAGTTTTAAAAGTAGCAACACTTTAAATTGAAATTCTAACAGCTGATAATTATATAAGTTTTCAAGAAAAATAAAATATATAAATCGTCCGCTTTTTTTCCGGCGGAGCAAGTCATTGTTGTCAACATTCGAGTTCTTCACAAGTGCATTGATGTTCATTAAATGCATAAAAAGCTTAAATGCATAAAAAGCTTGGTCATCAAAGATTTTTTGGTATTCTCACACATGTGTTTTTTGGTTTTTTTCTTGGTCAAAAATTTGTTTTTATTGCAAGCACTCGTATATTGTTGCTCTAACAGCCGGTCGCAGTGACCTTGTTTGCGACGGTTGATTATTGTCTGTTGATCGACCGGATGCTCAGATACTGTCTCTTTTGCAATGTGTCTGTTAGTTAATTGGAAAATTATCTTTCATTGAATTCAAGCGAGTCGTATCTGCCAGCATATATTCAAGAGAAATCGAAAGTTTGCGTTATTCTTATGCACATATTTTTCACGAAAATATCTAGCTAATAATTTAAGTAACCACATAATGTGTAAACCACATAATGTGTAAGTCTAAATTGAACAATGTGTTGTTAGATAGACAATGATCAATATAAAATTTAGATTTAATATATTGACATTAGTAAGAAGACTATTAAAATTAAGCATTCATATATACATATAGCGGCTAGAAGCTACGATATTATTCAAAATTCTACGTTGGCAAATTGTGTGTGACAAGCGCGCCTGGATGAATATATGTATGCGTGTACGTGAGAATGAACAAATTGCTCATAACTCTTCGTGCGTGCTTCGATAAATCAGTCGCGATTGATTAAGTAATTCGCAAGCAGGATCGTATTTCCCAAAGGGAAACGAGTCTCCCTTCGTGGGAGTGTTTACGATGAAAACCGCGTTCACCGTTCAGTGACATATCAACGCAAACGCGAGAAATCTTGCCAATAGTCTAAGACGATAATATGAAAATGGAACACCATTCGCGTAGTAGCTGTTAAAAAAAAAAAGCGTTGTTACATTAAGGAGAGAAATGTTAGATATTTGTAGTTAGATAAAAATTGCTCAGTACGCGAGGGCGCGCATTATCGTTGTGAAAACGCGCGATTTTCACAACGCGAAATCCGAAGTGTTCTGTCGGAAAAAATCTACTTTTCCCGAAAAATTAGATCGATCCGCACCTGATCCGCGTGAACGTTTTACGAAATATTAACATACACACATGGCGTTTTATTTATTTTCACATTAGATTTATTTTTAGGTGTAATATTTTAATTTACTCGCACACACACATACACATATATACACGTAATACTTCCTCTCGTCTTCGCCGAAGGAAATATGATTTGAGCGTGTCAGTGTAACGATAAGGGTTGGTATTGCGCTATGATTTTTTTTTTTTATACAAAGATGTGTATGCAGGCTTGTCTCTAGATAATAAGAATCCTTGATCTTACGTAAGAAATTAAACGAGAATTTCATCAAATCTCTGTTGCACGTAACATACTTGCAACTCGTTTGAGATATTCGATTTAAACACAACTGATGTAAACTAATGTAAAAATCTTCGCTGTCTGTTGTCGTGAAGATGTTTACAAGAAAAAAAAATTGAATTTGTGTGTTATTATATATTAGCTACGATGTATATAGCGACGTGGCGATTAATAAGACGAAAAAAGGATTCGTAGTATAATGTGTATATGTATAAAGAGCGATGAAGCCTACAGTTTATACATATTCCTCGGAATGTGTGTATCGCACATTTGGCTGGCTAAGTTGTACACATGTAATTATATAAAATTAAATATATCTTGCGCATTGTACGAATAAAAACATTTATTTCTCATATCACCTCTTTCAAGACAATAAGACGAAAGACAAAAATAGAGCGTATAAAATTCTTTAATCTCTTTATCATATAATTAGATTTTTCGATTATTCTACAGTAAACTTATTTACTGTCAGTTAACATACCCCTCGAACACTCGCGAGAGTGTTTATGGTAATCATCAAGGTAGTCTTGTCATTTTTTTTCTCTATTTTTATTTCAACCGCATTACGTTATAATTCGTTAATGAAATAGTATTTATTGCTACTTGCCAATTATACATATTTACATGATTTATCTAAACAAAAATCAATCTATTTGATATTAACACGATCGTGACGCAGAGAGTTGTGCGTATGTTTTCTGTGCCAAAGACCAGCGAGTTCAAATCCGACCGATTTTTATTCGGTTACTACCTCTCAGAAGGCAATGATAATTTAAACGATCGAGAATATATCTTGCTATGAGAAAATCCCTTTAATTGGTTAAAGCCGCTCAGAACTAGCGATCCCGTATATCTGCGTAAATTGTAAATAGGAAATACGATGAGGGGTCACACAACGCTCTGACGAGAATAGAAGAATCATATAAATTAAGAATTCATTAATAAATTATTCAATGAGTAAACAATCACATAATTTATACAAAGGTATTCGAAAAGTTGAAATGTACAATGCTATTTTTAATGGAGATCAGTCTCGCGCAGAAGCTTCGTTATTTCAAAACTTTCGATGTCAAATCGATTAGTTTAAAACAGGAAATGAATGGATGAGAATTGTACTATTTCCACTGTTGTATAATGGCATTTCGCTTACGCACCATATAGTCAATCTCTTTCAAATACAAAACCGCTCGCAAATCGTCATAGCTGAAGCCAGCTTTTTCCTGCAATGTCCTGAAGCGTCTCGTCTGTATCGCACGTATAACGTCCGAAGAATCTTCGCTGCGATAGCCGGCCGAAGGATCGTGAAGAAAGCATACGTTTAAAAACTTGAATTCCTCCTTATGGAAAATACTGTCGTTATGATGAAACGGATTTTCGATCGTCACGCTGGAATCGCCGTCTCGGATGGCATGTGTGAAATATCGTACGAAGTCTACGCTGCCGTTGGCGACATGACGACGAATAACATCTGATAAAAGCCGTTGGTACACCAGTTCTTCGTGTTGCAATCGACGTGAGGTGGAACCGACGTGGGGCACGTGCTTCTGCAACGACGTCGACACCATCTCGCGTATCTCCGCGATCTCGTCCTTCATCAGAATCAAGCAGCATCGTGTAACTGTCAACTTATTGTCGCATACCAGCTGTGCGAAACGGTGCAGGGCAAGCTGGATGTATTCCGCCGCTGTCAGCCGCACGGACTGCCTCTCATTTATACATATATCGGAAACGTGCGACAGTACCTCGTTTAACAACGTCTCGCGCTTAGAAAATGCCAAGATCAACGAATTCTTCACGCGAGCTACGTTCGGACTCGCGACGGCCATCTCATTAAACTCCTCTATTGTCTCGTCGAATTCCAGCACGTGAGTCTCCAAGCTGGCGTGCTTTATGGTTCGCAATGTAAACGCTATTATTTCGTCGAGAAGCAACGGGTGACAATTACTCCTTATCGACAGCAAGTACTTGAGAATAAATTCCAGTAAAAAGACGCAGTGCGACAGATTTCTTAAAAATTCGACACCCTGCTCGGCGCAACTCGAGTTCAGAATATTGCGGATTGCTTCGAGGTCGAAATCAAATTTACATCCATTTGCGACCAGCGATTTGAGATAAGCCGCGTGCAGCTGTACGGAATATCCAACGAACTGAAAAAATCCGGGTTGAAATTTCTGCGACGATACCACGTATTCGATTATCGGTAAATCGTAAAGGAAAGAGGGACGATCTGTGATGCGTGAAGAGGGGTGTGACTCCCGTAGAAACAATGTTTCCAATATCCAACACGGTTGCGCAGCTTTTTCATCCTGGCGTATATTATGCCACGCCTCTAATATACTGAGGTAGCGATTCGGTCCAAAATTTGCGGTCCAAATGACCTTGCCATAGTCTTCTTGCGTTTCCTCGTAAAGGGGAGATATATTGCGAGCATCGTGAATGAACTTTTCTCTCAAATATCCACAAGTTAATAAGCATCCGTGCACCACGTTAACGTCGCTGCTCGAAAGAAGCTTCTTCCTAATCGCGTCTATCTCCGAATTGTTGCTTCCATCCGTGTCTACGTATCCGTTGATACTGATAAAAGGCGTGAGAGCCGTGTACGCTTTCGCGGCCAATTGTCTGACGTGTATCATCGGATTACCCAGGAAAACGAGCAACAGACGTTTGAATTTCGTCGCGACCACCCTCGCGGGATAATCGACGAGATCGCAGTTGCCTGTCGACAGTTTCGACAGCACTATGAGCGTCTGCACGACGCTGGAGTAGGCCCGCAACGCCGCGTTCGAAGTTCCGCGTATCTCCGAGACGTCTCGTAGCTGCGCCCACATGCGACTCGTCAGTGTCGGGTAGTGCGTGACGAAGTGATTGAAGGAGTAACCATCGCCGAAGTCAAATGTCTCATCGCCTTTCCTGGTGCACTGCCCCACCAATCTCGGCACCACCGCGCCGTACAGTTGCAAACTCGCATTCCTGCACAAATGCATTTTACATGAAACGAAGTGAATTACGAAAAAAACATATTTAAAAAATATCCGAAAAAAAATTAATTAATTAATTAATTAACGAAACACGGCGTGTGTTGCGTTGCCTCACCTTACGATCCAAACGTCGGATTTCATGTATTTGAAACACGCTAGACAAATGTCCTCCATGTACGGAACCAATTGCGGGTGTATCTCCTTGTCGGCTACTAGCGCGCGCAGGAAGTGCAGGCGTTTCGCCCATGGTGACTCTTCTCCGGCCTCGACGTTTCTAACGGCCGCCACCGAGAAGTTCTCCAGCGCGTGCAACAATGTCCGCACTGCAAGATGAACTGCAGGTCGTTCCTTTCGGGTGTCGCTGACGACCAATCTGTGAAACATGATCGACAATCCAGCCCCTCGTCGTGTTAAATGCAACGACTTTCCTGTATCCTCCTCCAACAAACACGTCAGATGTGTTTGTGGTAGCTCGCAATACTCCTTTTTGTTGTACAAACATCTGAAACGAGTTTTTATTACTGTAAGTTCGTTATTTCTATCTCACATCGAACGATTGTCTCGACAACGCGCGCTTGCTCATTACGTTAACTTGTACATTAACTTATTTATATGTTTGTTATATATTAAATAAAATTCTATTGACATACAATTACCTGGATAGATTCGCAATCGCTACACCAGCGCACTCCACCACGCCTTTATGTCGACACTTCAGTAGTACCGTAACGATAATGTCCATGGAACGTTTTACTTGTGCATCAGATTGCATCAGTATCCCAATTTCGCTAGCGATCTCGCATGATATCTACGTAAAAGTTGCAACTAATTAATTATAACAATTACTTTGTCATAATGCTAATCACGAATTAAGCGAACATATTGTACCTTTAAAGACATCCAAATACACGAGATAAGCACTTGATGTGCCGAAGACAATTGCAACTCGTCGTAATCAATATCCTCTATTTCACTGGTCTTTATCTTTTCATCGATAGCCAATCCCATCTCCGCAAACGAGGAGGAATAAACTAAACATAAAATCATTTTACAGCAATCAAATTAATTCCTATTAACGAATAATATAATGTTAAGGAAGTCTCAATTTCTCAATTTTAATTAATCTCAATTTTAATTACATAATCTTATTCGCCGATAAAAACTTCTGATTATTACTATTAATTATAAGTTATTAATAAATTATGTCTCAATAATTGAAAATTAATATTATATTTGATAGTAATTGTATATTTGGTAGTAACTAGTATATGATATATTTTTAAAATAATATTTAATGATATTAATACCTGTGTTCGATGCTTTCGTTGAAAACGTAGATAAAAAGAAATCAACAGCGTCTTCCAAAAGATTGAGAATTTCCTCCGTAAAATTTGGTTTTAAGACCCAATCCTCTGTTCCACCTCGGAAAGCAACTGCTAGTAAAGCAGTCAACACACCATAAAAAGGCCTATTCTCGACAATGGCTTTTAAAATATCGCTTTTCATCTGTGCCAACTGACGTTTAGCTTCGTTCAATAGAAATTCCGAGTAACTCGAGTAAGCGAGAATATCATTATGCTCATTGTCGGAAAATATTGCAGCTGCATCTTTAGAATTGAAGGGTTGCGCCCAATGTACTATTATCTTTATGAGAATTGCTCCGCTTTCAATTTCGTAGAATTTCGAAGAATTACAATACTCCCATGCACAATTGTAGAGTATCTAAAATCAGAAGTTTTATTTATATTATATCTTAACGATACAATTAAAAAAATACCCTCCAAAATTCAAAGATCTTTGCTCAAATTTGAATTAATGTTTCTCTAAAAAGAAACAGATTTTAATATAAATCCAAATAAAAAGGAATATAAAAATAAATATATGCAAAAAACAAAGTGAAAACAAATAAAATAACAAAAATTGCCGAAAAAATAAAAAAAAATGAGAAAAAAACGTAAAGAGAAAAAGAGAAAAAATTTAATGATACTTTCACTGTAAAAAGTCCGCATTAGGCAAAGAATACATCTCTTAATTTTTAATTTTTTTTTAACTCTTATATAAATGCAAAAAGGCAAAACGTTTGATAAAAGATAAGTATATAAAGTATAACAAGCTTCTTACGCTCTTTTCCGTGATCGACAAAGCACTCTCTTCAAAATATTCCAAAATGAGGGTGGCAGCTAATTGTCTAACATCAAGTGCAGAGTCTAGCACGAGTCTTAATAACAAGACGAAAGATTCCTTATTAGTAAACCTCCAACTGTCAGTAGTCTTCAAGTATTCGTTGATTACGGAGTCACAGGAAAAGAATGCCTTCTTTCTTCTTGAGAAACGGTCATGGGTCTTGTTCGGATTTTTATTTGTGAAAGAAAGTAAAGTTTTATTTAAGTTTAAAGCGAGGATTTTGCGTTGATAACAAGAGCCAATTTCGAAACAGTCCAGGAAGTATTCATGCAGCCATTCCAGGAACTCGAAAATGGATTGTGCACAGTCGGCTTTACCGATAGCTTTAAAGATATTTGCGCACAATATCCCGAAATATTTTATTATCCCTTCTCTCATGAGAATCGTTGCGGTATTGGCGTTAAACCACAGAAATTGTTTTATCAAAAGGAATCTATCCTTATCTTTGTTAATTTCAGTCAGCTCGACAAAGCGCTCACAAAGCACAGCAAAAGCGTTCAATCGTACGATTTCCTCCTTGTCGTTTATGTACTGATCGACGTCGTGCATTTGCGGTAGCTTTACACGTACTTTAGCGGCTATTCTTTGCAGGTGCGAACGGAAAAAGTATCCCCGCGTGTTGTCGCACAATTTCCATAAAAACCGCACGATGTCCCTGTACGTTTCAATAGTCGGTTCGAGCCAGTATTGGAACAACGATTGAAGAGCGTTGTGATCCTCACTGTAAAAAGATTTACAATTATATTGTACCAAATTATAGAGCGTGTTTTTCGCGTTAAAAATAATCTCAAATCATAAGAGACACTGTCTCATATATTGTAAAGAAATTTTACAAATTTGTTTAGCATAGCTCTCCGCTTAAAAGATGCAAAAATTAAGAGATTATCGTTTATGATTAAAAATAAGAAGCTGCATGGTACAGAATTTTATTCTGCAAACTTACTGCTTTCCCGACTCCCAGCGGTCAATAACGAATTTCATAGCTTTCCCGAACATTTTCTTCCATTCAGCTTCGTTCAGTTTCTTCGAAATCGTCAGATAAAGCTTCGTACCGCCGCAACGCAAAGAGTTTCTTGTTAAGCTATTGCATAATCCGTACGAAACGGACGATCGGTGCTTCATAATATCGCCTTTGTCGAGTACTTGAAAAATTTCCGCCAAAATAACGTATTTCTTTTCGTTTTGCCACGACATATCTGTAAGACATATATTACATACTCTATCTACAAATGTTTTGTCATACTTCTGCGACATTATCCGGAGATACGTGTTGAAAATTTCTGCGTTCTGCTTGCTTAAATTAGCAAGGGCGTTGGACCAATTGGAGAATATGATAGCCTCCAACTTTTGCTCCAAGACATGATCGCGTTTGTCCAAAAAGCGCCCGTCGAACGTATTCTTCAGTCTCTTATTCAACCACATGGACAGTACTTTGTATGAGAGGTAAGTGTGTCTCGTATATCTTATACAATTTCTATATATTACGTCAAACATAATCTGGTAAACGTCGTATTCGGAGGACATCTCGAGAACATCTTTCTGGCTCACTTGCAGATATCCGTAGACATTCAGTAACTTAAAGAGCTCGAGATCGGAGACGGTGTATTGCTTGCCGAGGAAACGCAAGTCGCGCGAGTCCAGTCTTTGGAAGTCAATCATGCTGCTTCTAACAAATTGCAAGTCGCATTGTATCGAAAGCAAAGCGTGGAACGCGTGGCACGCTAAAAAAACGCGATCATTCCCCAATTCGGAATTGTTACTGATTATCTCCGTAAGGAGATGCGTTAGAATCGGCTGCCATTCTCTCACACTTTCTCTCGCGTAAGGTACATCGTGCGCAGTACGTATTAATTTCTGAAAAAGAAGAAGAGAGACAAGTCGCTGTAGCGAAAGTGCGGTAAAATTATTTTGATCAAATAATGAAGAATGTACTAACTCGGAAAATCGGTATATCTTTTTCACAGGTCTGCAATTCTTTGAACACGTCGTGCGGTTTCATTTTCTCTTGTTGCAAAGTGTCGGACATTTCTATTTCAATAAGATTATTTGCAATTTAATTTACTCAATTTGTTTTCCTATTTCGCAATATATCGAGTAATGTTAAAATATCCTTTAGTTGCGTAAGTCTTTATCTGCTATTTGAGAACCGACAACCTTTTCATTCTTCTTATCAAACTGCTTCGGCAAATCGGACCTTTCAGAACTTTGCATCCCACCGTCAAGACAGGTCCTGCAAGTAATGGAGAGTAATCACGTTTCCCGTAAACAGGATCGATCTTTCAATGAGAAAGAAAGAGAAAAAGAAAAGGCGATGTATGTAAAGATAATCGAGTTGTAATTAAAATAAGCTGCGCAACGAAAATTTTTCAAATATTTTTTTACAAAAATATAATTAGTTAAAGTACAGTGTAAAAGCCTGTATGATTAAAACAACTACCAGATTAGAGTTTAGTTATATTCGAGATTATATTCTGGAAACGTAGAAATTCGAAAGAGAGGACGAACGGCTTCAGAGCTTCTGTAAAATACCGGTTAAAGGATAATAGAACGTCGCAATAAAACCATTGTCTTGTGTTATTTTTAAGCATCTTGTTTATTATAATTCAACAGATGAGGAACAACAATGTAAAGTCCAAAATAAATTCGAATGGATAAATGTATGAAATTAATTTGTTTAATAGTTAATATTGATAGTTCAATCATGAATTGCTATGAATGTAATACAATCGATAAGATTATTAGTGTCTTATGTTTCCTTTGGCTCTTCAGGAACATACCCCCCCTTCTCTATTTGCTCTTTGAACTTCAAGTAATCTCGCTTACGATCAAAATGTTTCACCTGCGTAACAGTGGCATAGAAGATTTGTTAGACAGTAAAAAAAAAACAATTCTATTTACTATCGAAGTTAAAAAAAATTTTAAATAAATATTAACCCTTCGTTGTCACGTAAGCCGCCTTGTAAGTCAAATAAGACCCATAGATTAAGAGTCGAGTCATGGCACACAGAAAAAAAACTTAAATAGTAAGATGTAAACAGTAAAGAAATCATATTGGGTTTGCTACTATTTACATTATGGCCTTTCTCGATTGCAATTAGTCGATTTTGCTTATTGTTTACGTCTTACTGCTTAAGTTTTTCTGTGTGCCAGGGCCTTTAGACTACTCAAAAAATTAACAGTACATGTGCGGAAGCTGTTAATCCAATGTTAACTTTTCTTCAGATATTGGAATATATAAATATCTCTTTTGAAACATGCACTGGACATATTTTTTATCTCAAAATAGCACATTTTAGGAAGGATCGCCCACAAATTTTAGCTAAAAAAGTTACAATTTTTTGTTACAGTATTTTTTACGTGTATTCACGAATTTTTTTTTAACATAGTATCATTTGATTTATTACGTTATTATTAATAATACATATTCTGGAATGTTAGAAGTATGTTTCATAATTTTTTGTTTAAATAATTTTAAAATAGTAGCCATTTAAAAATCAATTAATTTGACCCAGTGACAAGCGTGACCGCGAGACGTGACAAAGATGTGACATCGAAGGGTTCCAAACAAAGCTCTTTGAAAATGCCATCAAAGAAATATCATCTGTAATACCTACCCATTGAGATGGACAGAATTTTTCATATTGTTTCCTAAATTCCATACATTCTGCTTGAGATTTGCCTTCATCCAGGCATTGCCAATATTCGTCCCTGCGACTCCAGCATCTCACGCGATCTTCTTTACATGGGAAAGACATTCTGTAATGTGAGAATATAAAAGGAGTTAAGTATTTAAACATATATACATTTGCTTCCAATAATATCTATTTGCTTCTTTTCATATTATTATTTGTCTCATAGATAAGAACTGCCTTCCAGTTCTTGTCTAGATAAAGAAAAGTATAAAGAAAAGTATATAGTATACATTTGAACTCTATTGATAAATTTCCATATATAAGATCCACTTGTATATAATTTAAACTAATTTGAAATAATAACTTCATATTAATATTTTTGTGATTAAGACAACAATATTCTGTAGTAATAAATTCTGGCAATCTAATTATTATTGCATAGTAGTGAAATGTTTCTATCATTGTAATAATTATATAGGTAAATATGAGAGCAATACGAAATTCAATAACGAAATTCACAATACACTTACCTATAATATTTATTTCTTTTATTAGGATGACTCTATCAAAAATTCACTCACTCACTTTTAAACTGCTACAGAATCATTAAAGTTCAACAAAGTATGTAATAATAAATTTAAAATAAAGTGAAATGGAAAGCAGTCAACTATTCAATTACAGAAGATTTGTCTCCAAACAAAATTATAACAATACAAACAATCTTTTATAGAATACCATTAAAAAAAAATATTTCTGTATGCTATAATGTATTAATCTTTTTCTTTGCTATTAATCAAATCAAAATTATTAAAGTCACAATATATCATTTTTATACATAAATTTACTAAAAATATTTTCTCTATCTTTTTATAATCTTAAATATTAAATATTAACAATTGTAAAAATAAAATAAAATACTGACAAATATTTTACATTAATTTTGTAGCTATGCAGTAATATATGACAATTTTGAAAATCAAATCAATCTCAATAAAAAGTAATCAATAAACACTTTGCCAATATAAAGTAGTGCAAATTCCATAAGATTTAAGATTACATGTATACTTTATATTCTTTATAATATAATAGTATTCACTTCTAAAAAAATATAAAAGATTATCTGATTAGTCCTATCATACAAATTAATGTCTTATTGCAAAAAAAGTTAATTATACAGATCTAATAATATAACATTTCATAAATAAAAATAAATGTTCAAAAATATTCTCTAAAGATCATACATCTCTAAATGTGTCTAAATATATCTTTAAGGTGTCAAGAATATAAATTAATATATAAATTATTCGAAATTATATCTCAAAGCTTTCCAATTAAATAATAGGTCAGTATAAGTATAATAGTACACATGTGATGAACTATATGAAAATAAATACATCCTACATATTCCGATAAAGAGGCCACGTTCCCGTTACCATCACTCACTAAACAGCTCTATTAAAGTTAACTTCAAGTTTATTTCTGATTGTGCAAAAATAGATTTTCGAAAAGCGAATTCGCACGAGAGAGCCACGATTATATAATCACAACCTCGAAAGAATAATATAAATTTAATCAATAAAAAAAAAGGTATTATAAATATAAGACATCATTAGCCCGATTACGAACAATATAATGCAAGAGTGACGAGGTAAATCTATTCTTTTTCTTTTTTTAATTTTAACAAATGACATCACCAACCTCCAAGTTTACTCTTAAATACGATTACGTAATGTCAACAGATTTAACCAGGATTTTTATGTGCCATATGCAGAATGATAATTCTTTGTCATTATAAAAAGAAAAAAAACATTCTAATACATGTATTTAAAAAATATACTATCTCATTAATAGCAACTTGTAAATTGCAAAATTCCACTAACCTGACTGTCGTTGTATTTACAACGTGGAAAATGGTATTAACTGCAACTATTTTGTACTATCTTGTGTACGGAGCAGTCATTTAATTCAGTTTTGCTCGATTTAAATAAAGGATCAATATTGCCAAGACTCCTAATTGCTAAAATCATTTGTCATTGGAGACCGGTCGAGTCACAATCCAGTCACGCTCGTTTTACATGGTCTAACCTAACATATCATGTTCTCACTCAAACTTCGTCTTCTACACTTACATACTTCTGAAATTAGGAATGTAATGTGATTTTTTTTTACAGTTACGTTTATTATTTGACAATGTATTTCTACGTTAGATTTGTGATTTTTAGGAAATTAAAGAAATAATTGGCGTAATAAAACAAGGAAGCAATTGGATCCGATCTAGATCCTGTTCTTTCTACACTTTCTACACTTTTATCCGGTTGTTTTTCTTTGATCTGTAAAGCCCGTATCAGACTAAAGATTGAGATTAATAGCGTTTTCGATTTGTTGACTCGATCCGACTCCGAGTCGATGGTTTGTTCTTTTTAGCTATAAAAAAATAGTTAAAGTATACAAGAAACG